TTTTTGGTGGTTGAGGAGAATGGGATGTAATTCCTCCCTATAGACGTAACGAGGTGTACTTACCGTGGTAGGAGTGGTTAACCAGTGCTCAACGAGTTTGGCCATCTAAACCGATCGTTGGAATTCCCCATCTCATAACTTATAGACTGGATGTGCTGGATTGAGCCTCATCGCGTCCACCTCCGACACAGGAGTGTATGCATCTAATTTGACAGAGATGCTTAAAATAATCCCGTGCTCAATGCTGCTTGGGAGCATTTGCAAGCGAGATGGCAAGCATGCGGCATGGACACTTCATCCCCGGTGTATTGGGTTCGGTCCGCCATAGTCGGTCATTGGATGACGACATGGCATTGGGCACCCACGGTCAGTGGGCAGACCAGTGAGCTGTTGCGGTTTTTATCAGGGATGGGGTCTCAAGTTCTTGAGAGAGATGTGCAGATAGATATGTATGGTTTCAACAAGGAGTGACGCGATAGGTCTCAAAGCTGGCCACGACATCTGATGATCTGTAGATCCATGTTATCATTGATGTTGATAGACAAATATCACCCCAACTCCAAAGACACCAGCTATAATACCCCCCCCTACTTGACAATTTGCGCCTGAATTACCATAAAGATCTCATAAATACATGTCTCGTGAATTGGACAACGCCCCATTTATATATACCGTGCGAGAACTAGCCTGTCCGCCGGGTGCAACTCTGCCAACGACGGCATCCCCCATTTCCTTTGCCGCCCTCAAATATCCGGACTCAATGTGGCCAAACCATATTTGTTGATGGTGTCCTTTCCAATAATGACTTGGAAGTGATCGGTGTCAACAACACGAAAGTCGGATACATAGGTCTTTCGCCCGGGCACCCGTCCCCACGCCACGCTTTCGACCACGCCGTGCACAGGGGTCGGGTCGGCATGAAGGGTGATGATCTGCTCATGCTCACCACACGGCTTCAACTCGAGCTTCAATCGTCTCCGAAGCTCGGATGAGATAAGGTCCTTTTCAGACTGGGTGTCGACCGCGATGATTACCGGAATGGTGTTGTTGTTGACGTCGAGCAAGCGGCCCCAGATTTTCCATTCCTCTGCAGTGTCGGGGGCCTGGTAGACAACCAACGGTGGTGCGTCAACATTCGATCGGTGGCGGCCTGGACGATCGCCGGGTTCGAAAACGTCGAGGATCTTGCGGAGGGGGTCGGACAAGCGAGACAGGCGCCGTCGCCATCTTTCTCTTTTTGATCGTGCCGGAAGAGGGATCGCGGATTCTAAGAGTTCGTCGTGACTTTGGTTAGTCTGAGACTTCGAGATTTCCCCGCATGGCTCTCCCTCCGGAGATACTCACCGTCACCGCCCGCCCCCGAGGAAACCGTCATTTATCTTCCGCGGGATGAAATGCAGGTGTCTATCAAATCGAGCATCCACATCTGCAATAGGAGAAAATAGGCATTCAAGATGGACAGCTAGCGCGGGGGTCTGCAATGCTGGCTGTAATGGCCGATGGTTTCGGTGATGTTGGAGTCTCAACGGTGTCTGGGTAGTGGTAGTCCTAGGATGAGGAAGGCCGGGGATTCAAAAGGGTGTGCGGGATGATAATCACGCGCCGTCGTAATGATATGATGTTCTCTTGTAGGAAGGTAGGTAAAATGGGTAGGGGTTTATAATGACGATACCATCTATGAAAGACAGACGGAAGACAGAGGAAATCAATATGTGGCTTAGCTTTATAATCGCGACTCCCATTCGATGATCAACTACCCCGAGATCGGTCTGGGACTTCAGTCGGGCGGTGGAAGGAACAGTAACTGGTAATTGTTCTTACAGGTTATCATATAAGTACTTATAGCCACCTACAGAACAGCTTAGGTGAAAACACATCACATCCTGCTACGCTAGTGTAATGATTACAAGACTTAGAGCACTGCCTCATCCATTTCACCTTTCATGGCTGGTTCTACTGCTATACCCCATATTATCTCTAGATCACTGTGTTGTTTATCATCTACATATTCTAGTTCGAATACATAAGGAATCTATCCAGGTCACATTTTTCAATCCACTCTAACCTAGAGATTCAGACCTACCTAGAGAAAGAAAATGGAGCTGGCATTGAGCATTGATGCCGATGACATCACAAGTTATAACAAGCCTTCCCTTTCCTCTCTGATAATTGAGTACCAGCTGGTGTTATAGAATATGGACAAAAAAATAGAAAGATCACAAGAAATCAGTGGCGATCACAATTCTTACGAAAATTTGCCGCCCAATGCAAGAATCGACCGGGGTAGTATATATTACCTTCTGAAGAATATTGAATGGTTGCCTATCTTGGTATGATGTATAATTCATTATGAAAGATTTCAATACATCCAGGCACACGAAGTATCTAGTAAGAAAGTCGAATGATATGTAGAAGCATGCCACCATGTATATGTATGATTCTTTTCCCCCCCAATCTTTTCGCTGCGCTCTTTCATGTACTCTTCATTCTGCCTTCAACCCCATCAAGGGACTTGACATCTCCACACAGGGACTTTGCAGAGCCCCTACACGGGCATGCTCGAAATTCTATCCATCAAGAGGAGTCAAAATCCAAAAACACAATGAATTGAGCATCTAGTCATTGAACCATCTGGCATCATTGAAAGAAACCCCCGGTACATGTCTCGGCCACATCAGTACGCCACCCATTCACCCACCCACCGAGCGGGGCGAGTGTGTATGGCACATCTACCTGTGTAATAGGTATAAATTACAAAACCTTCAGGCGAAATCGCGGCTGGGTCTATACCGGGTAGAGGACAGTAGAATGTATCTCTCTTTCGTGTATAACTAGAGGCTGCAAAGTATCACACCGTCTACATCAGGCCTTGGTGCTGTTTATGCTCAGCGGTTGCAGGCTACGCTGGCTGCTTGTCTGTGTTGTACATCATGACTGGCCACTGCTGAGGTTATTGTATCGAACAAAAGCGATGTATGGATTATGTATACCTCTAGTTTTACTCCAATAGCCTACTAAAATACGCTCGACGACTACAATCACAGCAACGCATGGATATCAAATCATCATGTTTCCCATCCTTAATATATACAGTCAGGTGGGATTGTCAAATCTAATGACGGACTTCTGCTAAATGCTCGATTTCTTCCCCAGATCGCTCTCTCGCCAACTCATTAGATAACAAAGCCATGTTAGGGTTGGTCCTTTACCTCCGCTTGTGTTTTTTTTTGGTTGATTTTTGGTCGCCTTTTTTGCTTTTTTTTGGAGGGTCCTCGCCGTCTGCACAACGTACAGAACGGACGAGATGCTGCCACATTAACGCTTTGGTGGGTGGTGGAATGGATGGGGTGATGTAAAGAAGGGATAGGGTAGGGGGAGGGTAGGGGTAGGGGAGGGATGAAACAAAGGAACAGGAATCCCGGAGAAATCGGCCGGGGCATACCAGCCAGACGAACTGAGTTGCAACTCCACACATGGCCAGGAAAGCAAAGAGAAAACAAATGTCGATAGAGAAATGCAATTTAGACTTCAACGGCTCGCGCTTGCAATGCTAGATAAATGCAACTTGGTTGGCCCAATGGAGACAACAAGAAAGGGGTATGCAATTTTAGGGCAGTAGAAAAAGAGAGGAAATGAGGAAATGAAAATGGGGAGAAAAAAAGGGAAAAGAAAAAGAAACAGAATGAAATGGGGAATAAAACAAGGAAATCCCAATCGGGATGATATCCAGTTCGGTTCCGGCCCACAGGCCACGGTTTAATGATAGACGATGCCAGGTCGGCAGATATGGAACAGGACGCTTTTGACGCACGTCATGTTGCTGTTCAAGCAGTTTGATGGTACAATATGGACAAAAATGTCCTCAGTAGCCTGCATTGAAGGACATCTGAGGCTGGAGGTATTGTTGCGAGTATGCGGTCTCCTGCGGGTACGCGTGGCCGCTCACATACTGCACATTGGGTGGGGGCGTCGGTGAAGGCGAGCAGGCACTGGTCCCGGCCACCTTGATGTAGGAGTTACCGCCAGTGACAAACACATCGTTCTCCGGTGTGATCGGCGGGGTGATGTAGCCGTGCGGCATGTTCGACGGGTGCGGCGCCTTCTGTGGCGTCGCCAGGCCGATCTCGCCCTCGTAGGGCTTGGACTCCACGGTGACCATATCCGACGGCGGGCTAGGAGGAGCGTAGGTGGCGATGGACGCCTGGCGGGCAAGGAACTGCTCCAGAATGCGAGACACCCGGGAGTAGTGGGTGGACGAGTACTTTCGGGAGAGGACCTGAGACGGCTGGTGCAGCTGCTGGGACAGTCCCACCAACGTCATCGAATCGTACTGCGAGGCCCACTCCGTGTGCCGGGGTTGGGGTCGGTCAAGGATACACCGCGACAGAGCCAGCGAGGCCCGAGCGAGGTCGGAGGATGGCTTCGAAACGAATTCCCGGTGGAACAGGGCGATCTCTGCAATGTACAGAGCCATGTGCTCGACCTCGGGATCGTACGCAGTATCCAGGACAGCGACCTGCAGGAAGCTATCCACGGTTGGGTGTCCGATGGTCCACCCCAAGGTCTGCAGAACGTGCCATTCCATCTGGATGAACATGTCGTCATCGTAGAGCGAGCAGCACATGGACTTCAGTTCCTTGATCGTGGGCACACGGTCCTTTTTGTCTCCATACTTGGCTGCGATCAGGAGTGCCGCACAACCCACCAGCTGGTAGTGCCTCTTGTAGACCACCCGCTTGGAGCAATACCGGTCGAGCAGGTTGATCGTCAGGAACAAGGTCGACGGCAGCAGCTGGAACGCGGTGTGGGCTTCGATGAGGAAGTCAAGGAGGTAGGGACGCATGAACCACTGGATCTCGGTCTGGATATCGATCGACTCGACATCGGGGAGGGTTGCCGCCTGATCACGCACAGTTAGCCTCAGTCTTCGCAATCTGGGGGTGATCCAGGTGGGCCAACTAACATCCATGTCCAGCATGTGAGACACAATGTCCTCACGGAACTCATCGCTAGTGATCCGGGACAGCTCATCCGCGATGGCGTACTGACGCTCCCGGGCAATGAACTTGGCATGTTCCTTGGGGTCCATGCGGGGCGCGGGGACGTTATCGTACGACTCGACGAAAAACGTGTCACACGGCTGGTAGCTGGATGTAGGGCGCTTCTGATAAGCCATGTTTGCGAGAAAGGGTTGAGACGAAACACCCAGACGAGGGTCTTTCAGACGACGGATTTAAGAGAGTGACAGTCGTTAAAGATTAGAGTATTAATGAGTGGAATTAGTTGGGAATTAAGGAATGGCCAGTAATGACAATAGTCGTGATACTGGAAGGAGGGTAGGCCAGAGAACCAGGGTAGAACCGTAGGTGGCCGAAGCTAAAGAGAGAATAAGATTAGTATCAGATATTAAGAATTAAAAATTAAACAGTAGAGTGATGTGCAAGAATAGAAGCCCCAAACAAGAAAATAAAGAAGGAATGAAAAAAGAAAATGAAAAGAGCGGCGAGGTAGTTTATAGTGAAGCAATCAAGGTGAAAGTGAAGTGAGAAGGGAAGAGGGTGAAAAGGGGTCCGGATCCGCTGGGGGTAAAAGAATACTAACCCAGATGGAAGGCCTTCGGGCAGAGGGCACAATGCAACCCTTACCGTGACGGCGTGTCTGGCATCTAGGCTGGGACAGGACGTAGAGGAATGGTCCGTCAATGGATCCTGCAGAATACCAGTCCAACAGGCAAAGGACGACTGAACGTCTTCACCCTAGGAAACCGGTGCTTGCTGCTGGCCTATGGCACACTGGAATGTGTAACAGGAGTGCAGGCACGAACCCTATGAAGGGGTAGGGAGATCGTCAGGGGATGTCAACATGGAATAAGAATGTCCATCACATACACTTTGCGGTCCAGTGTCTTTTGACAAGGTGTTCTTCCTGTACAAGAAGACGGTGTTGTTGTGAAGGGGAGGACAAGTGACCAGAATCCGCATTAAGGAGGGATGCAGAATTGAGGTCAACTATAGGACACGAGATCGGTCTCCTAAACAGAAACACATTGTCAGCCGGCCAATTCGACTCGCAATGCTATGCTTTTCGTTTTTCTCCATGTGTGACTGCCATTGCGACCTGAAAAGCTCCGGGTATGTGGCTCTTGGAGATCGTCCGTCCTCAAGTATGTGCACCTGCCCTACAATCCCTTTCTTCTCACACCGACAAGCCCCTTGGTCCGTACCGTTGCTAGAGAAAAGGTTGGCCTTTTCCAGAATCAACAGATTGTTGAAATTTGACATTCATCCGGTGATATATGGACATCATCCTGCAATTGCACCCCTTGTTTTTATCCCCGCCATTGTCCTTCTCTCCTCTCCCCCTGGGCGTCTCAATCCCTCGGTCGACATATATAACCACGCAGCGTCACGCCCGCAGGGTCCGTTTCGAATGGTAGGTTCTCGTGGGTTTCGAATGGCAATAGATCCGGCCTTTTGACGGGCAAGGGCTCCATGCTCCGGCGGATCCACCCCGTCCTTATGCAATTCCCCCTAGGCAATTCCCCCGGCACATAGGTGGCATGACACCGAGCAACGTGCAAAAATCGTCCGCGGTCTCTCCAACATGATCGAGAGGGTGGTGGTCCAGAATGACAGGAAAGAAATTCAGTCTTACCTCGGGGAAAAAAAATCACAGCAAAAACCAAATCATATACAAGCCAGAGAGCCAGCGGAAAAAAGAAGAAACAAGGAAGAAAAAAGACACCCTTCTTGTCGCTCTTCTAACCGGCAGAAGCTGAATCAGAGGGGGGAGAGATATCTGACAGTCGTCGACAGTTGACACCGGGACGGACAGGTCAGGGGTGGGGAGAGCGTAATTGGTCGCCGTTTGAGTTAACAAACGTCGAAGGAGAGAAGAACGTCGAAGCAGAAGCTGACGGACACGTCTCGACTGAAGAGCTAGTACAGCGGAGGAGACAGACGACGTCGAGCGATAGGGATTATATCGTCGACAGTAGTTGACTCGACCTGAGGACCAGTCTCGGAACTCTCCAAAAGAATTGGCGGGGAGGAGGGGGGGGAAGGTAAGAAAAGGGGGAGGGAGGGAAAGGAGGAAAGGGAGGAGGATGAGGAAGATGGAAGAGGGAGGAAGGGGAGGAGAGATAAGTGAGGAGAAGTTTCTCTCTCTCCAGACGAGTGTGATCGAAGGAAAAGAAGAAGAGAGAAGAAGTAGAGACTAGACGAGAGACCGCAGATAGAAGTTCTTGAGAGGATCGCTGCAGGTTAGCTGGTATTGTAAACCGTGACGGGGTTCTTTTTTTCTTTACATGGTTTTTTTATTATTACAGTCCTTTTTTTTTTGTTTCCTTTTCCTTCCCTTTATTTCCCGTAATCAATAACGGGGGGGTGGATTCGGATACACCACTGGATTTACTAAGGTGAGTTGAATACATACGGTATATGGGTATTATATCTAGTACGTACTCCGCCGACCGTATAATAGTACTGGGTACGGAGTACCGAGTAGTAGGAGTGGTTACTACTGTAAAAACTAAGTACTTTACTCTAAAATACGTACCGTTTCATCTCGTCTCAACTATACCTCACATCCCCAGTGGTAGTGGCTCTCACACTCTCACACTCTCGATCCCATGGACAGCGTGCTCTGTCTAATGTAGTGCACCCCGAATACGATCCCCTAGGGTTGCCATTTAAAGCATGCATCCCAGTGAAACACCCCGAGGAGGTGGGAAACAACACTGTCTCAAATCTTGATTCCAACCACCGACGTAGGCGTGGAAAAACCAGGTCAGCCAAGCAGATCAGACGGGAATGGTCTCGATCTCATATTATGATGCTCGCCTCCTGAACCGCCTGGAGGACGGGATTCTGCCTAACGCGACTGGCCCTTACTGACTAGTAGACTGTACGGCCGAAAGTTAATCATAAATAATAATCTTCGGTCAGTAATCACAAAATCACTAACAGTAATAAGGATTCTATCAGATTAATACTAATACTACGGTGTACTTACTGACTACCCACGTACGATGGATGGTAATGGGTCTGATGGGGCAGTAATAGTATGGACCGTATCTCATTCTCATTGTTGACAGGGAAGGCCTTTTGTCTGATATACATGTTGCTCCATAACCATGTCTCCTATTCATCGCCAGCCTTGCCCATATCCCCACCGATGATAGTCTACATTCCACCTCGATCTTCAATCTTCTTTCTTGTCGAATACATCGTAACTACTACGTAGTACTCCGTACACCGCACAAATTGACACTAAACAACCCCAGAACACAGGAAACAACTCTCACATTCTAACCTCTCTCAGCCTACACCAACTCCTTCGGTGGGCTTGGAGTGGGGGGGATCTCCGACCTCACCAGCCAGTCTGCACCAGCCATTTGCCCTGCCGTTCCTTGGTACCCCATCGGTGGCCTCTTTCTCCTGGTGCTTTGGACACGCTGATTGAATCGATTTTCAGCCCCTTCTCCGGGGGACGGTCGGAGCTGCATCCCATGTCGGACTCTCCTGATCATTGGTGTTTGGACCATCGTGGGTTGTTTCCTCTACTGTAACTAACTTGACTCCTGCATTCATGGATGATATAATTGCTTTCATTCGCATGGTGCCTTGAAAACCAGACATCAAGTCGACTGCATGTCAATTGCATTCTCGACAGCTAGGATTCTGTGACGTGACTTGAGACTGGCTATATTTATCGTTCTTGTTACACTACTACCTACTTTACTCCCTATATTAATTGACCGTCGGCGGCATTATAATGATTAATATTACTATTATTATTAGGTAGAATTATTGTCTCCGGTTCATCACATTGCCTCAATGCCCACAATCAATTGCGGAGTAGCCGACTCATTTCTTTCAGCTGCTGACTGCTGTAACTTAATCAATACCTAGGTCGTTGGTACTCCGTTGACGATACTCAGAACCAAATTAGTGGTGGCGATAACCTAGTAAAAGGACTTGTTCTGACTTACGTCCTTACATACATACGGTCGCGTCCTGGCGTCTTCAACTCGCCATCTGGCCGCGCTGACTGGCTCAAGCCCTAACCTCCGGCGACCTCATCGCGTGTCTTTCCCGCCATTCACGGCCAGTCGCATCCCTCGACTCCCTAGTCCAGTCAACCCTGGCGGTGCTGATCTCTTTGTTGACAAGACGTCTTGAACTTTACTATGATCCAATCTCTGATCGATGAAACAATTCAAACTTAATCAATAATTTTACACATAAACAATTACAACAGACCCTACACTGTAAAGGAATGAAAATATACCAATTGTCTCGTCCAGCCCGGGGACCAAACACGAAGCCACTCCTGCACATCCATGGTCCGCACCTATCGACTACCCTCGGGCGCATGGACGCGCTCGCGTTTGCTACCCTTGTTCAAATCAATCTCCTCCTGGATCCGTTTGGGGTTAATCAACTAGCAGGAAATAGACTTCGTCGGCCGGAGTCTCTTTCTCTCCCCACATGCAGAGAGGGCTTTGTCAATCGTGAATCCAGAACCAATGGACTGGGTGGCTGCATACTGCACATCTGAAAGCCATGTCACTGATCCTGTATCTTTGTCCAGGTAGATGATAGTAGTTATCGTCATCTTCCTCCGCCTTCGAGCCACATATCTGATTCAGCGGTTGTGGCCAATGGTGTGACCGACCGTCTTCCGTTCGAGTATGGATGTACCCAGTAGATACGTACGGAGTACCTTGCCTACGGGATGTAGACAAACACGCTTGACCCTGTTCACAATCAGTCGGGGATAATTCGAGACAATATGCGTTGGAACCGTTGTCGGCGTCTCCATGGATATATCCCTCCTTTCAATCATCCACGTCTTGCCATCTATCTACTGTATCAAACCAAACGTTGGTTCCAAAATAGAACCTTGTGCTTGATCCCCGGTTGAGACGCGAATGCGAGACGCGGGAGCAACCCCTTAAAGCACGCTTCACAATTGGCGCGACAAATCAAACTAACAGTCAGCTTGATGTATGGAGATCCTTATTGTAGCCTAGGTAGGTAGCTCAAGAAATCTCAACAAAGAAAGCCAACCCCCAAGCTGATCCATAGACGCAACTCCTCATTCTCCGACCGGTCGCTCACGCCTCGACCGTCGTCGTAGGTGGGGGATGGATCACCGGATCTCGATCCTAGACTAAACTCAAGCCCGCAGCCCCGGTAATTGTGTTTGGTTTGATTCATGATTCATCATCATCGATCGTCCACCGTGGATAACAGACGTATCTTCGTGTTAATGCGCCAGTCTGTCACTTTGCTTTACTTTACCCTTTCTCCACTATTGTCTTTTCTTTTGAGGTTTCAATTGCTGAATGGGTGCCACTGTGCCACTGCATTCTGACAGAGTTGAGTCGAGTCGAATGAGTCGAGTCAATCAAGGATCCGCACGATCCTTACTTGGTTGGCTGGTGGTTGACTGACCGGGTTGGGGGCGGGGATCTCCTTTGTTGCAGTTGCACTGGCTTGGCCCACGGATGCATATCATCACTTCTTTACTACTCCGTACTCTGTATCTTCTAGTATTCAACTACCTAAGCCTGTTCATCATTCTATATATACATACAGTAGGCAAAACATACGTTCAAATTAACAGAACTAGGAAGTCGTATCTTCGAACAACCACCAATGGAGTATCCACGTATCGCCCATTCAAACCTACACAACCCCTTAATCACCCCCCCCCCTTCCCCAGCCAAGATGATAAAAACCCGAACCGGCTCTGATCCGGAACCATGGATCCCTCGACAGTCGACGCGGTTCAAACACGACATCACATCCCGAGCCCCTATCCTATCCTATCCCATGTGTACCTTACGAGTAGTATAATATAGAACGGGATTACAATCCAAGCACCAGCAGATTATACATTCGTCCATTCCTTCCTCCCTACCTATCTACATTCTACATCGTAATGTAACTAATAAAGGGGCCCGCTGAAGGTACCTACCTACCTTAGAAAAAGGGGCCCCAGACACTAGCAAGGATAGGTGCCCCAAACCCGGCTTGCCCTGCTTTGCAGCCGATCGCGGGCCACCGGACCCCGTATTACTATTGAGATTGCGATTTCCTTTTTATTGGTGATTTCCAGCGGAATTATGTATGTTACTATGTATGTATTCCATGTACGGGCCATGGCACCGGATGGTTTGCTTCCATATATTACTGGGGACGGATTGACCGGCGCCTAGGTATCCGGTTACTATAGTAAGTAGCTATACATAGTTAGTATGTAACTACCTAGCGAGTTAGCCTCCCTCCAACTCCGGTTCATCATTGAGAACAGACATTGGGCTAGGTACTGCCAATGCAATGGTCGTGAAATGGTGAGACTTGACTTGATTTCGCTACTGGACGGAATTGTCGCGCCCGTCACTCCGTGGTCACTGGTGATACTATTGGATTATTGAAATGATGGGCGCGATCTTCGAGGGACATGTTTGGTTGGGGCTTTTGGCCGGTCGGCTGGTGGAAAGGGGATGGGATAATACGTAGCCTGGTATCATCATTTGCATATTTTATACGTGCGCCTCAGTATGAACGGAGTGCGGAGCAAGTAGGCAACCTATGTGTACATCTCCGTGCTCTGGCTATTCGCAACAGCCCAGCCACGACGAGATAACAATCTTTGTATCCGTATCTCATAAAATCATCAACCAGACAGTAAACTACACCATGGATGTACACTCCTACATTTGTATCCCACCTACATAATCCGAATCATCACGCGCACACCCATACCCTTCCTACAGACCACGTATACCACATTCAATGCTAAGGTATATCGCATGCTCGCCTCACTAGCTAGTTAGAAACCAGGTTGCTCCCTCGACCAGGATGGATAATCATAATTATAGGCGTTCCCCTTGCGGCGTACCTGCAGGTCCCATCATCCCCTCTCATTTAACTAAGCATGCTGGGTTCCACGATGATGTCTTTGCTCGCTATCATGCCATGGCATTCATGCCTTGCTTGCCTTGCTTGGTCGTAAACTGACTCGTTTGTATAAATGCCAAGCTTATTGGATAGGTCGTTACTATTCTCGCTTGGAGAATGTATATATATTATAACTTGGGTATAGTCAAATTCTACAGGATGATTCGATTATGTGTACTCCGTATCACTCGGGCGATCCTGCAAGGGTCGCTGCATCTGAGGACCATCGTCCGTTTGCATTGCATATCATTATTTCTGAGCAGCGAAGCGGTCTGTCTGCTTCAGGAGTGTTTCTTGATTAGGTTCTATATTCATCATCAACTGGTATGATAATGTACTGACTTGGGTATTGTATCTATTTCCGTGAGGGTAAATACCGGCTGTATGTATATATACATACATTTCACTACCCAAGATATTACCTCGTATAATACAGTAGCCGTCAAGCAGTGTAGAACGTTCGATGTATCACTAAGAGGAGGCCCATCATCGATCAATTCCAGGAAAGTAATCTCCCCGAGCTGGAACTAGTTTGGATTTGTTGCTACTAGATTGCGAGTCCATTTGAGCTATCATTCACTCATCAACTATATCCATCAATATCATATAAATAGTAGATACAATAGAATAGTCACTTAAGATGTAACTATTGACCAAGTTACAGGTTACCTAATCTCAAGTATTTCATTCCCACTGCTCCGTACATACGCAGTTTCTAGCTCCTGCGGAAAACACACCGCACTTGCGTTCAAAACCCACTGCGGATCTAGCCAGAAAACCCTGTATGTAACTACCAACTAGCCACTGGACCACCGTCAAAAAGGATAATACACACGACTTTTGCCTCAATGGGAAATTGTTGCCCTCTCTACCTTAGATCCCCCTCCTCCGTACCAACCGTATGATTTTCGGTCCGTCTCTCGGCTTCCCGGGTGAGGTTGATCCAGTATTATTTACTTACTAACTTAGCTATCGCACACCAAACATACCTACTCTTTCGCCTGGGTAAAAATTAACGATCTAGTCACGATTCTGTGGCGGATGTTTTGCAGCCCCGCAGTTCCGACATGTCGGTCCACCTGCAGAGACTACACGTAAAACACTGCTTTAAGCTATGGATCCTGTATCTGGTCTAGTATCTAGTATCTAGTGTCTAATGTCCATCGTATGTTTCCTATCCTTGCGGAAGAGACGGGTACAGTTAGTACACTACGCAGTTACATACTAACGCCGAGCCATTAATCGTGGTGGATCTCGGAAGAAAAAAAAAGGTGAAAACGAAGATAAAGATAAAGATAAAAAAAGAAAAAAGAAAGGAAAAGAAAAGAAAAGAAAAGGTAAAATATTGTTCTAGAAAAACAGAAGAACCTTCGGTTAGCCTTCAAAAGGAACAGGGCCGATGCATGATGACCCGTCGTGCTCCATACTCAATGCAGGCCGAGTGGCTCGCTGAACCCCGATCGCTTCAGCGATTTGGACGAGTCGAGGGATCATCTGTATGGCTTCGTGATGGACCGATTGAGTAAAAGCTCGCTGACTCTATCGGAGGCGTGGTTGATCTATCTACCCAGCCTACCACTTCGATACTCTCCATACATGTGTGTTCTGTTGGGACCCGTACCTAGTACCTACTAGTAGTGACAGCATACCAATTCCATGTTTTTCAAGTATCATATTCAACGGTCACTTGATCCACCCGGTGGGCGGTTTTCTTTTTCAGATCTTTAAGCCGGATCGGTATCAGGGTCGTGGACGACGGACAGCTGTCAATTCTGTACACCCTGCTATTGAGCAGGCGGTTCGTCCAATTGATATGATGCTATTGTTGTACAGAGTACGAACAGGGTCTTTCAAATTGGGCTCACCCTGTCGTCCCTTCTTACCCCCGTCACGGTCGGATGCATATGTGATGAACTCTAACATATCTCCTCATCAAGGTCCTATCCTATCCCTATCAATCCAAAGACCCACGGAGGAGAAACCAGAAAAAAAACCTGCACAACCAACCTAACCGTAACATCAAACGGAGGGATCAGCCACCTGAGGCAATTACCCGTTCACACACATGGATCGGTACGGTAAGCACAGCAGAATGGAGCAAGGTAAGGTACCTAAGTATGTTACACCTCCAGCTAGGTACGGAGTACTCCATACCTAAGTATCTATATAGATCCACGGTGGCATCCGCGGTGTGTCGGACGAATAATGACTCTTCTATTTGGCGACGCGAAAATAAAGGATGAAAAAAACCCACGCCGGAGCCGAGACAATATGACCCGATCCGGTAAGGACGTGTCTTTGGGGCGGGGATAGCGGAGAGCCTCAGCCATGGTTCGTGGTCGTCGTTTTTTTTCTCTCTTTCTTCTTTCTTTCTGTCTTCTTTTCTTCCGGGTTTGGCTGGAACCGTGGCTGGTTGGGTAACGGAGATAACCTTGGCATGGAATTGCCCCTGTATAGGACTAGGGGTAATCTAGTATATAGAATGGATATAATCATCTATATCTGTCCAGTACGGAACTAATATGTTGGTTTGTTACCTACTTAAGTGCTCCATACAACCCGGCTAGGTTAGGTACAGAATACATATAGTGAATAAGAATACCTTACTGAGATACTCCGTACAATACATACACTAATCCACAACAAGACTAAGGCATGGACTGAGGTGGATCCCGATTGTAGTGTAAACAAACGACTCCACATCTATCCCCAAAGCTCGAAATCAATTCACCGAATTTTACCTTCTTATGGACTCCAATCCCTGCAATTCGATCCAACAGTTCTTCTTGAATAGATCGCAAGCCGAGTGTATCCATTGCTCAATAGTAATAGGGTATGCAGAAGTTCCATGTTTCCATCGCATCCAATCCTCCCCTGTCATTCATCCAGGGAAGAGCATCAAAGGAGACGGCCAAGAGACTTCGCGTCCTCCGCGGTATGTCGTCATTACTATTGATTGACTCGCGTTCCACGTTCCGTCCGTTCAGCTTGCTCCTTCTGGAATCTCGAGTTACGATCAAGCCACCCAACCGAAATTGGCTTCTATTCTCGGGCACTTTCCCTGGTATTTATGACTTCATTCAAACAAACATCCTCGACGACGAACCCTGGAAAACGGGATTGAAGGTCTGTTGACGCGCCCTGATTCGATGATCGCGTTGCCAAAGTCAATCGCGCTTCCTGTTCAGCCTACCGGACGTGTTTTTGCTCGGCCTTCTCCAACTCCTCCATGGACTATTGTTTTGGTCTAGAAGCCCGAGAGAATCCTGCCTCGCCCGTCCACTCGTCTTTCCTTTCCCCTTTGGCCAGGACTGAAAATAGTAGTGCGAGGTGGTAGATCGACTAATGTGATGGAATAGGGATACAAAACTAACCCGCCTTGGTGTGGCGATAGTTCATTGGGCTAAGACGCGCCCGTCTCATCTGCAATCCTGCTTAATCCTAACTAATCCCCCCAGAGTCGTGTTGAAATCTATATTTTGGGGTCCGTTCAGTTGGACGGGATCACCTTTCATGCTGCTACGCGCGATTGGATTGCCGTCCAGACGCCTGGGCCAACATCCCGTCAGCCACCTCCTGAGCCCAGGCTGGCTACAGGTGGTGAGATCCTGGTTCTCATCCGCACTTACGCCTTCACATGTTTCCTGGTTCGACCACGGACCTAGGATTCACTCGGTCGGCCTGATTCCTCGTAATGACAATTTGGAATTGTACCGAGTCGATGGGGGTAGATCGACCACCATTCGTGCATCTGTCGCGAGTCGCGACCCGGATAATGATAATGGACCCGGCCCCGATCGGTCGCGTTCGTCGCCAGTCAATTGGCTCAGGGTCTTTTCGTTTGCTTTTTCCCTTCTCCTTTTCTTGAATTTAATGTCCTATCGGCAAGGACGCATGGGATTGCGTTGGCAATCAACCTTATCCGGTCGCGACAACTTTAAGGATCAGGAGGCTTTCGTGTTGCGAGGCTGTCTCGTCGCCGATCGGACCACGGCTCTGACACTCCAAACACTCCCAAGGTCTATCAGGCTATCAGCCCAACATACATGGTAGAGGTGAAACACACCCATGCCGATGTTGTAAAAATAGCATAGACACTGCTACGTTCCGCCCGGCGGAAATTATTTGCGAGGCCGTTTCTGGCTGTGTACACTGACTCTGTCGCTACATACGCCATGCTTCATTTACATAGATAATGATAGCCAAACGAAGTAGATGGGCCATATCTCTGCGTCGCGAAATGTTTTCGATACTGGTGAAGGACCCCTACATTGTTGAAAGGCAATCCCAGAGGGCGTTCTCAAACTCAGTCTGGATGATTGCAAATCATGATCGGATCCCCAGTTAATTTAGTCTCTTCACCCCGCACCTCAGCTGGACATGGGTTACCTTTTAGGTCTCACCCTGATAACCCTCTTCCCTCTGAGACGGGTTTAAATCAAGCAGAAACCAATATACGACGGCAGCCACACGGCCCACCACCACCTCTTCCCCTCTTGCCCGGCCACAGTGCCCAGAAACACATGGACTCTGCTTCTGTCCTTTCTCTTTCAGCCTCCACAAAACCCATGCATAAGCTCCGGGTGTCTCGTCGGAAATGGGCCCGTCGGTGGAGTGCTCGCTGATGCAATATCAATTCATATCCTATCAGGCCATAATCCTGCACTCGCTAGACCTGCGATCCCAGAACAGGCGACCAGGGTCGCGACTGACGTGGCAGGCTCTCCGATCTGGAATGGACCTACCGTCCCCCGCCGCCAATGCAAGTGCTCAAGAAATTGTGTCATAGATACGACTTTTCTTCCTTCTTACCTCCCCACTCCCCCTCTCCTCTCCCCTCTGGTGGCCCGTAAGGCTCACCTTCTGCCGCCATGAGGAAGGGACTTGATATTCTGACCGAGTCTAAATTAATATTTCTCGGCATACACTAGCGTTGTCAGCTCGCGTCTGTCCCTGTTTACTGACGAGGACGGACGCGCACAGGCACATACAGAAGAGATACAAATTCGCGGTATACACTTACTCAAAATACGTGCGTACGTATGTCCATACATACATACACACACATACATTTTTGCTGCACGAAGTTGGATTAGGTCCTCCTCGCAGAACCGATGCAGCATGTATGGAGTACTTGAGACCTCCTGCGCCCGAGATCATCGATTACTCTCCAGTCATTCTGTTTCGTGTGTGCGCGTGCGGTTGTTGGCTCCCCCGCGTGTAACGGATGCACGAATCCGACGGAGGTGATTGCTCTGGTCTCTGTCAGCACTTGCACTTGCTTGCGTCTTGTCTGAAGTTTATTGTTTTGTTTATTACGCTGTTGGATGTGGGCCTATGGGTGTTGCTGGTGTTGTTGGTCTTCTTGTCCAGCTTAGTCCCGTGACTTGCGTAGCCAGAGGTTTTCTCTATGGATGCCGGACTATCATTCGCATTAGATTCTCGGGGATGCTTGTACAGGCTTGGTGGTCTTGTTGAGGGCATATTATCCAGGACACTAGATATTCGTAAATGGTTGGAGGTCCTTGGTTCAAGGGGATAGCAGTACCAAACTATTGGCTAGCACAGTTGTCGATTTATGTGAACGGTCGTCAATTGTGTATTTTGTATATCTATCTATCAATGCCTCCCAACATATTTGCCCATAGCTTATATTATTTTCGTCAAAGCAATGATTCTTTTACTTTTGGTTGTCAGGTGGAATACCATATGCGACAACTGGAGGCACGTGACCACTCCGGTGGATCCTCCGCGGGCGCGCTAAAAATTATATCAAAAAAAGATGGGAAAAAAAAAAAAGTCCGCGATAGCAACATCAAGCAGAATCGTCTGCTCAACACCACCCATTGACCACTCCCAATCTTAGTTCATTCCCCGGAATGATTGTCTAACGGCCGGCTCCAACCCCTGAGCCGCGATACAAATTCCTCTTCCTCTTCCGATTGATTCCTCGACCTCAAAACCTCTTTCGCGGGCAAAGCTCCGCCAGACCTTGAACCGCATACCTCACCTTCCCTCCGCTCCCTCCCCACCTCCTCAACAATGGATATCCATCGCTGCCGATTCGTGCCCTATAACCCGCAGGCGATCAACTCCCTGGCGTTCTCGCATCCCCCCTCCGCCGACCTCAAGGGCCGTGGTATCCCGACGCTCCGCCTGGCAGTCGGTCGCGCAAATGGCGACATCGAGATCTGGAACCCCATGCGCGGCGCCTGGTTCCAAGAAACAGTGCTCCGCGGAGGCAAAGACAGAAGCATCGAGGGCCTAGCCTGGACGCAGGATCCGGCCGAGCCCGGCCCCGACGAGAAGACCCAGCTGCCGGGCCGTCTGCGCCTCTTCAGCATCGGGTACTCGACGGCTGTGACGGAGTGGGATCTTGAGCAGGGCCGTCCCGTGCGCAACTCCAGCGGCAACTACGGCGAGATCTGGTGTCTGGCGGCCCAGCCGCGCTGGCAGGCCCCTGCCTCGGGCTCCCGTGGCAAGGACGGCAAGCAGCTACCCGCCGCCGCGGAGGGCCAATACACGGGTCAGCATCTGGCGGCTGGCTGCGCCGACGGGTCGATCGTGATCCTGTCGACGGCGGATAATGACCTTCGGTTTTTGCGTTTGATGCGTCCGTCGACGAAGCGCTCGCGTGTCCTCAGCGTTACCTTCCAGGACCGTAATACTATCGTTGCTGGCTACGCAGACAGCTCCATTCGTCTGTTCGATATCCGTAATGGTCAGCTGCTGCGCACGATCTCCTTGGGTCGTGGCCCTGCTGGTGGCTCCAAGGAGCTGCTGGTCTGGTCGGTCAAGTGTCTCCCCGACGGGACGATCGTGTCCGGTGACTCGGCTGGCGAGATCCGCTTCTGGGACGCGAAGAACTACTCGCTTATCCAGCGGCTGCAGGGCCATCTGGCGGATACGCTGGATGTTGCTGTGAGTGCCAACGGAGATACGGTTATCAGTGGCGGTGCGGACCAGAGGACCGTCGTCTACAGGAAGAACGACGGGGACAAGGGCGATAAGAAGAGCAGATGGGCTGAGGTCATGCACCGTCGGTACCACACCCACGACGTGAAGACTTTTGCCGTCTACGAGACGAGAGATATCAGCGTTGTCGTGTCTGGAGGTACGACTTTACCCTGTCTGTTCTGACCTGCGAACTATGCTAACAGTTCTAGGCCCCGACGCCACCCCCGTTGTCCTGCCCCTGCGTGAATTTGGCAAGGAACACCACCGGGCGTTGTCGACCCTACCCCAGGTCTCTCAACTGGCTTCTGCCCCCTCGTCGAGGCTCGTCATGAGCTTCTGGGACCGAGAGGTCAGCATCTGGCGCATGTCTCGTGGGCCTGGGTCGGTGCATGAGTCTGTCGACGGCCCGAAGCATCGCCTCGTCGGGAAGGTCTTGATTCAGGTACGCATAAAGACCGTGAAAAATCACGAACTACACTAACAAGTGTCTGCTACAGGGCGAAGAGAACATCACATCGGCCATGCTATCCTCGGACGGAAAGATCCTCGTCGTCGCCACGATATCCAGCGTCAAGGTCTTCAGCGTACGACGACGCAAGGGCGACGAGAAGGGCACACTGCGGATACAGAAGCTGGAGGCCCCAGCCGCACTGGCAGATGACGGCGCCCGCGTCGTGACGGTCTCCCCCGACAGCCGCTGGGTCTGCGTCGTGCGGCCCAACAGCGCCGTCTACACCGCGCGAATCAAGCCGGCGTCCTCGCCGCAAGACAAGCCCCAGATCCTGTCCCAGCTCGTCAAACTCAACCGCGCGCCCCGTCGGTCGCGCCACGAAAAGGCCTCCCACGGCACCCTAGGCGAGTACGAGCGGACCATCCGCTGCGCCGTCTTCTCCGAGGACAGCCGCGTCCTCGCCACAGGCGACCTCTCCGGCTGCGTCGACACCTGGACCCTGGAGAACGCGGCCGAGGCGTCCAAACCCACCACCACCGACTCCGACTCCGACTCCGACTCCGACGACGATTCCTCCACCTCCTCCCCCGCCCTCGAAGGCGAACGCTGGCGCATGGCCGCCTCCGACCCGCCCATCCCGCGCCTCACCTCCGGTATCGCCGTGCTGTCCTTCCGCCCGTCCAACCCGGCCACAGCGACCTCCACCCCGCGCCTAATGGCCATCACAAGCGAGCACCAGCTCGTCGAGTTCGACGCCCTCTCCGGCAAGCTCTCCGACTGGTCCCGCCGCAACCCCAAAGCCTACCTCCCGCAGCAATTCCGCGGCGTCAAAGACCGCGTCATGGGCTGCCTCTGGGACCTGACCGCCGAGCGCGAACGCCTCTGGCTCTTCGGCTCCTCCTGGCTCTGGATGTTCGACCTCAACCAGGACTTCCCCTCCCCCGAAGAACTAACCGCCGCGTCGGACGACGCCAAGCCATCCGCCCTCGTCGAATCCTCCTCCTCAACCAACAAGCGCAAGCGCGAAGACGACGACGCCGCCGCCGCCGCCGCCGCCGCAGCAAGACGCAAGAAACCCAACAGCGGCGCAGGCGACCGCATCCCGGACTCCGAAGAGCTCTACCTCTCCCGGTTCCGCAAGACGGTCGTCGGCGCGGACGAGTCTCAGTCCCACTCGGAGTGGGTGTCTCTCGAGGGCGGCGGCAACAACAACAAGAAGGATAACGAAAACGTCGACGACGACCAAGACGAAGATAACACCGCCGCGCACGAAGCCCGTCTCGCGCGTCTCCGCCGTGCTGACCCTTCCACGTCCACGTCCACCTCAACCTCCACCCCCCAGAAGAAAAAATCAAAGCACCTCCTCACCGCAGGAGGCGGAGAAGACGCCGCCACGCCTGACTCTACCCCGCTCAAACAACAGCAGGTCCAGCTCTCGCAGACGCAGGACCAAGGCACCCGCCGCTGGTGGCACACCTACAAGTACCGCGACGTGCTAGGCATTGTACCTCTCGGTGGAGACGACTCCGACTCCGACTCCGAAGAAGACAATGCCAAGCACAACGGCGAAGGAGAAGAAGGAGGAGCACCCAATACCCTCGAAGTAGCCATCATCGAGCGGCCGATGTGGGATGTGGAGTTGCCGGGGCGGTATGTGCGGGACTATGAATGATTTGATCTGCTTAATACATAGATACTGTTTTCTGTTTTCTTTTTTCTTGCATATCTTTTGTTTTATTTCTTATTTTTTATTTTGTGTTGGTTTTTGTTTCTTTTTATCTTTCTTGGTGAGGATGATGGTTTTCTACCTACCTACCTACCTACGTGCTTTACCCTGGACCATCTCTTGGGCTGTCTGCGGTAGTACTTCTATCATCTGAAAAGTAGGCAGGTACCTAGGTAGGTTGGTAGAACCAGGGGTATAGTTGGTGAGAATATATGTACGTACAAATTGCATCCAGAATACCTATTATTAAGGTAGTGAGCAGTTGGCTGGCATGCAGGATAGGAGTTAAAGAGATATAAATGCACAAAAGTCTTCCTTCTTTCCCTTTCTTCTTTTTCTCTTTTATATACTTTTTTTGGTCTTCTCTTGTAGCTTAGGTGGTATACGTACTATACTCGACTGTCAATAGACTGGATAAATCTACGTACTTAAATGATAGTCATAGTAATATGAATTCAAATAAAAAAGACAAACTATCTGCTCAACGCGAAGATGATGCTATCATGTACAGCTCAGACCAAGCCCAGCCAAACCAGGCCAGCAAAGCAACACAAACGCCAGCGGTTTCAATATCATATCTAACTATCAAGACCCCACCATGCAGTTATGAGCAAATGAAACAAGCCAAAGCACGCAAATGTCATCGTTGCAATTGATTGATCCGATCCCAGGCAAACACAGCATACGTATGTAAAGATTTCATGACGCGTCAAAGGTCTCGCTCGCGGATAGCGGAGACTGAAGGTAGAGAGTACACGGGATTGCGCTTGTCGCGGGGTTTCTTTCCGATATCGAAACTAGTCGTTGCACCATAGCGTCCCTTTCATGACAGACTGATTGTAGAGCAGAGAGAGTAGAGGAAGTAGAAAGAAAAAGATAAGAAAGGAAAGAGAAAAAGAAACGAAAAGAAAAGAAGGAGAAGAGAGTGGTCATGGGCAGATCGGCTATCCAGCCAAACTCATGCCGACCACCAACCAGCGACTTGCCACTTGCGGTCCAGCTTGCAAGCCTGACCACCGGCAAGCACAGGGTTGGTTGGAGTGTCCTGCAGCCAAGATGATCAGCCGCGGCATGCTCACGGCGGAGGATCCGATCTGCTGTCGTATCGACCGTCCTAGTCAAGGCCCCAGAGACCACGGTTGGAGACAGAATATTGGCAGGGACGGACCGCCAGGTCTACCCCAGATATTCGATGGTGACATCCCAAGGCAATTAGCCGTTTTCGCGGCACCAAACCCCAGGGCGATTAGAAGCTCTGCGCAGACACGGTCGCGGGCTATGGCGAATGTTAGCAACTCTATCCAGATCACACAGCAAGGGCGAGGCGATGAAATGCACAGGAGTCTCGGCAGGGTTGCACAAGGCCCCCGTGCTGGGCTGGGCGAAAACAAGGAAAAACGACCGCCACGCAAGGGGCACTTACCGGACTGCTCAGCATGCTGTTTCGCTTGTTCCGGCCCTTCTTAATATGATTCTTCAACGCCGTCGAATCCAAAGGCTTCAGCAACTCGAAACTACACAATAATTCGCCCGAGACCGACATGATCGCGCCCCAGTTGTCAAATTCACCGCAGTACTAAACAGGGTCAGCAAGGTGAAACGGATGTTGTCACGCGAGGGAGAACCTACGTTCGGGGCGGAGAACACGGTCACGAGAACCCGGTCCTGATAGAATTCATATCCATCCTCGACCACCATGTGGGCGCGGCACACCAGGTCGAAGTCGTGGCGCTGCAAAAAGTTCATGATCACCTTCTTTCCGAAGCAATAGCTGACACCGCGCTCGTTGGGCTCCCAGTCTTCCTCCATGTCCGCCGGATCGCTCCAGAGCAGATCGTTCAGCAAGCCGTAATCCGGCACGTCAGTGGGTCGAGCGATGCCACGGATGTCGTCCATGTGGGAGAGACTCGGGGAGAGCCCGCCGTGCACGCAGAAGATCTTCCCCGCTACGATGGAGGCGATGGGCAGGCAGTTGAAGGTGTCGATGAAGGTCTTCCAGGTCTTGATGTTGCAGCGGCGCTTACACTCGTCATAGAACCCATACACGCGGGTCACGTTGGCGCATTCGTGGTTGCCACGCAGGAGGAAGAAATTCTCGGGGTATTTGAGCTTGTAGCAGAGAAGGAGGAGGATGGTCTCGAGGCTCTGCTTGCCACGGTCGACATAATCACCCAGGAAGAGGTAGTTGGAGGTCGGCGGGAAGCCACACATCTCGAACAGTCGGATTAGGTCGGTGTATTGGCCATGCACGTCTCCCACAATCTTGACGGGTGCGGACAGCTCCAGCAGGGCCGGCTGGGACAGGAACAGCTCGCGGGCGGCGCTGCAGACGGCCGTGATCTCGGCGTTCTTGAGACAGACGGTCTTGGTGACCTTGGTCGAGTAACCCGCGTCCAGGAGACGCGAGATCATGTCATCCAGGTCGATCGACTTCAAGGCGCCCATGCCCATGCCCGGCGACGAGGAGGCCTCCGATGGCGGGTTCATGATGAAATCCAGGATGGGATTCATCTGACCCTCGCGCTTGATGAGGATGGATTCGCCCACCGCCTGCGAGGACGGGCCCACGGGCGCCGCCCTGGCGTTGAGCGGCGCATCGGAGACATGGTCGACCTCCCCACTCTGCTGCATGGCACCCACATCTTGATGGCCCCGTCTCAGGCTGGTCGACAGCGACGGCGAAGGCGGCGGGTCGGGGGCATCGGGCTGGGAGGCGGTGTCATCCGCGACGCCCGACTGGGTGGTGCTGAGGTTCGTGGAGCTGCGTCGGCTGCCGACGGACTTGACGGACCCGGTCTCGGAGCGGTCATCCGATAGTGCGGAGGTGGAGGCGCGGGGGCTGTCACTACTGAGGATCCTGGATCGGAGGGAACCCCGGATGGAGCGGAGAGACTCCTTGGTTTCGGAGCGGGAGAAGGAAGGATACGACTGCAGGGTGTCTCCCTGGTTAGAGTTGGTTTTGGAATGCGACTGGCCCATGATGAGACAATCAGAACCACTGATATGCGGTCACCCAAAAAGCAACACAGGACCCGTTCGGTGATGGAATGTTGGCAGCCGACTTGGCTGCTAACTATCTCCCGAGGGCCTGTTGATCAGATTATGGAAAAGACCGGACGCGGTTGAAAGAGACCACCGTGGGAGACGTCAGGATATATAGGGATCGAGGCCGATTGTTGGGTCGATGAGAATAGGAGAGGGATAGGAAGAGAGGAGGACGGGACAGTGAATCAATCAATCCCCAAGTCGAATGGTCACGTTCTGACGAAGGAGGAGAGAAAGACCGCTGAGGAGGAGTAGGAGGAGGCAATAAACGGCGGAGGTCGACAGCCACCTATTGCAAAGCCACTGAGGAGCTAACCGGATCGAAAGGGACGGCTCCGATTCGCTAAACAAAAAGCTCCTGATCAACAAGACGGTTAGAGAAAACGTGAGGAGGAGCCACTAGGCAACGACCAAGGATGAGGGGAGGGAGAGGGGGTGGCAGTATCTCGGGGAGGAGTGGTATGTGGAGAGGACAGATAGAGGGAGAGGGAGAGCGAGAGGGAGAGGAAGAGGAAGAGTGAAAGCAGTAGAGGAATGGGAGTGGCACTGGGGGAAGGAGGAATGATGGGAATGCGTCATTATGGGGTTACGGGATTGGAATGGATGGAGATGGACTGGGGGAGAGTGGTGAGGGAGAGACAAGGGAGGCGGGGAGAACCTACCAATAATGGACGAGGAAAAAGAGAGATCGACAGGAAGAGGTAATTCAAACCACCTGAATGGGGGGGGTGGATAGGATTGATGATAGAAGTGGAGAGAAAAGTAAGATAGAGAGAGAGAGAGAGAGAGAGAGAGAGAGAAGTAAGAGAAAGTCAGAAGAGTAAGAAGAGATAATGATGGTTTCCCGTCCAGGTAATGAGTCGGTATTGCGCAGCCTGAGGTAACCCAAGAGTCAGTGACCTTCTTTTTGCCCCCCGGATTATCTGGTCGGTCCGAGGACAGGCCTGAGGCTTGGAACGGAGCTTGTCACCAAGGCGGTCAGCAGGATAGACCGTTTTAATTGGCTGCCTCTCAGCTCACTGATTCTGAGCCGGTCGATCCACTCTGGAGCTCTCGGGATGATTTCTATCGGCATCATGGATGGAGATGGTTGGGAGATCGTGTTTATATAGGTGGTTGCCCCGTCCAATGGTGTCTTATTCCCCATTGATTCTTTCACTTTCTGACGAGTATTTTTATCCGATTTTTTATTCCCTATTTTTTATACTGGCTAGTATCACAAATCAAACTACTACTGCATCATTGTTTTGCCCCAGTCCCCTCTCCTCCACTATCACCCTATGACGGACTAGTCTCCCCACTACCTGCAATTTCATTGATTTTGACATATCCTAGCCAGAGATCCTCCCCTCACCTTTTTTCCTTCCCCCCACCTGGTCTGTCTTGGCTCGCCCCTCTCTCCACGTAACTTAAGTCTGTCTGAATGAATATTCCCCTCTACAAGACACTCCACATTTGTAATATATTTTTCGTTATTGTTTTTTCCCTATTCGAATACAGACAATCGGGATGATACACGATTATCTGTGTCAGCCTCTAACACAATCCCCCGATCTCTTCCGAATCAAGGCTGAAACTGTACATGCATCCATCTCCATTGGCTAGAAGTATCCATTCGGAATGACGTTTCCGGCTCTATCCGCATGTTAAATCTCGAGCAAAGACCACCTACCATGCTCATTGCTAGGGAGTAGGTAGTAGGTACCCTTGTCGATCCAATGCCTCTTCATCCTTCCCCCCCCAATCCTGTCCCCTCGTCGACTGCCAGGAACACCGCCAGTTCAAGCTTGATCGCAGTGGGGAGTGTACTCGTGGCGTTCGACCGCCAAGCCTGGGCTGTCCTGCCGCCAAGCTACCAACAGCGAATCTTCTTCCGACGTTTAAGTCTACCCACGTTGGCGGTGGGAAACGTTGGGTGGTCCATTTTGGATCGAGATCTTGGCGCTGCGTCCCTCCTTCGACCATGTAGGTAAAAACTTCCCGGTAGCGAAGTGTATCGAGGGTTCTGGCCAGGCCAGGAAGGTGCTGCATATTCGCCTGTGTCATCCTTCCAATAAACTCCTCCCCACCCCTCCTTTTCCATCCTTTCATCCACGTATATATATAAATATACCCAGAATGGCCGACCCAATCAAACGTGGGAATAACCAGAGTGTAAAAGTAAGAACATAAAACAAAAAAGAGAAAGAAAGATGTCAACGATGAGTCACTATAGCGACACGTTCGTGTTTAGGGTTTCATCTCGCACAAAAGGACAAGATCATGACCCTTGCGTAGACCTGGCATCCATCCACCCTATCACGCAATACCCTGGGTCTTCCTGAGCGCATCTCGCACGCGACCCTGCTGCGGGGTCTCCTCCAGCTCGATGTGTGTGATATGCCGGCCGGGGACAACCACCAGTCCGATAAATCGACTCGTCATATTCACCTTGATATTGGGAGAGCGCTGTTCATCCGAGGTTGTGTTGGTGTCGGCACTGGCGGCTGCGTCTCGAACGGCGGAAGGCGTGGGAGGGCGATATTCAAACGTGTTCCCGAGGATGATGTTGCGGGCCTATCGATCCCTCGATTAGCGATTTTTGCTTTTTCACTTCATATACTTTGATTCGTTTTTTTAAAATTCTTTTTGCTTTTTTAATTCGTTTAATCCGGTTTTTGATCGGGTCACCCACCGCATCAGTACACTTAAACGTGCCCACGAAGATGCGCGTGTCGGTCGCGTGCACTCGTATCGTCTGGCCGATTAACGACTCCAGAAACTGCACTGCCTGGTTCGCATCCATGGTGAACCTGGTTTCTGGCTCCAATCGATCCCAGCTGCTCGGGAGGCGTGGTCGGGATTGAACCAGTTAAAACAGGTTGAGATACGATCGAGGGAAAAGGGCCGGGTCTGGACTGTTCTGCAGGCGAGTTGAATGGACGAGTTGAATGGATGCGCTGAACTAGGCGATGCCTAGGAGCATGTTCAATCGAAAGCTAAATGGACGAGCTAGGCGGTTTCCGGTGGGTCTAACTGTGAGTTTAGTGGCCTGTGGTGGTCATGACATGAGGGGGAAGAAGGTATTTATCATCTGGCTGGGAGTGGGAGCGGATTGGATGTTGGATCGTGGATGAGGAACTCCGAAGGCGGAGAGCCGCCGGTAGCCTCAGGCAGACGCATGTGACCCGTTCGATGTGTCGACATAGTTTATTTTATTTTATTTTTCTTCTTCTTCGATATATCATAATTTTCACTACAGGTTTTGAGTTGATCAGGATTGTAGTGTTTTACAGGTCCCCAATCCACCATGTAGAAATCTTCAAATAACATCCCAATATCTTCGAACATCCACTGTATTCTTCAAGTAGAGATAACTAATTACAAGCTCCGCACAACTCCATATATACATCAACCGGGTTACATGGCCTGCATCGTTCCTACCGGTCCAAGAAAGCTCCCACAGTAAACACAAATAGGTATATAATCAAGCAAACATCGGAACGACTATCGGATGAGAAGATTCGTTCCGATCGCACATCATGCTCCACACCATGGCCAGCCATCGATGACAAACAACACGAAACACGCTAACAGTTGATCCATCGCAACTGTAAACTAAATAGCACAAACAGCGTCGGTCGTATCAAAGTATCACATCCAGCCGAGACCACCAGCCCACATATTGGGATCTCGAGTAGTCTCGTCACTCCCCGAGTCCATATCAACATCCATATCCATGCTCGGACCTTGGGAAGACAAGCTGGGAGTCCGGGTGTCACTGATGATTGAGTCACTCATTGCGTCCACGTTCAGACTCGGCTGCTGAAACGACAAAGCACTGGTTCGCGGGGTGCGATTGGGTGTCATCGGCTGCGGGTGTGTGCCCTTTGAGCGAGACTGGGGGGAAGATGTTTTGGCAGGTTGGAAGAATTTAAGCAGCGTTTGTTGGCGTGGGTCGACGGTTTCTGGTGCGGGAAGGGACTCGATGTCCATTTCCTCGGCCTCGGCTGCCGGGGATGGTTCCGGTCGCTGTTGGGCTGTGAAGAGCCAGCGGAGGGTGTTTTCTGCAGTGGTCCAGTTGATTAGTTGGCTGTCCATATGAGGAGACATTCACTCTTTCATATTTAGCAGATGGACATACCATATACTATTTTGTCTTCTGGACGATCGTCGCGGAAGCGCTTTCGCGTCCGGCTGTTGAGGTGCTGTGGCGAGTCATCCAGCATCATTGATCGTCCGCCGATAACAGACGGTGTGCTGGGAGACGTCGGAGTCGAAAATGAGGCCTTGCGCTTGAGAGACATCTTGCAAAGAAGTGTTTAGCTGTTTGGATTGGGAAAGCAATTGCGCCCCTCGGGTGGAGAATTTCGCGTCGTAAACAGGGTACCAAGAGCGGTACGGGGAAGGAAAAGGTAGGTATTAGAGAAGTAAAGGAAGAACAGTAAATGGTCTGATTGGAAAAAGATGGAGCGAATCTCTAATTAAGTCTGTACAGAGAGATTGTGGAGGAGTAATACGCAAACTCAGATGAGGCTGGGGAGTCGCGTCTTCGCGTCCGAAATGCCGGTCACGACTTAACCATGCGCTATCCCCGATTGGGATTAATTGGATCGTGGTCGTGGTATGGAGGCACAGTGAACCCAAGAGGGCAGAAATCATCATCCATCTGGTTCTCATAATGTGAAGAATGATGTGGATCGATTGATGTCTCGAGGGTTTATCCAATATATCTATAATTTCGTCTTGAAGGTCTTAGATCCCGAAGCCTCAGGCCCGTAAAGCGCGTCCGTCACGCATCATTCATCAGGCGTTCAAATACAGACCCCTCGTACAGCTGGTATACTGATCAGAAATTCCAAACATTCATCAAAATGAACAAGGTCAAAAAGACAAAAAAAAATAGCGAAGATATAGCTTCGGTCCTTGAAACCCTCGATATTAGAAAATTAGAGCCGTCTCGATCGGCATCCCGCATTTTTAAGCTCTCGGCATCCCGCAGGACGTCATCGAAACCAGTTCCAGTGGATTTGCAACCCCGCTTTTGGTCGGTTCCATCTACTGACCATCCATTTTGCCCCCTCAGTATCCATTTCCCCTTCCTTTCCACTCCATCGCCACCACTCAGAACTTTTTGTCACTCTCCCATTCCACGTATTGTGTCTTGTCGTCCTTGGTCTCTCTCTTGAAGCAAACATCAGTACAGAATGCAGTCTCGCGAGGCTTCCCATGCTGGTTCATGGTATTCGGATAGTAAACGCGCTCTAACCCGCCAACTCGATGAATGGCTGGCTCAGGTTCCCGATGAGATCGAAGGGATTGGCTCTCTTCCGGTGCCTGGTGCAAGAATCATCATTGCCCCGTACGTATCAAAAAACTCTTATCCTCTCTGGTCTTTCGGCTGACAAGTTAGGCACGCTGGTTATGCTTATTCCGGATCATGTGCCGCTTATGCCTACAAGGCCCTGGATTTATCGAAAGCGTGAGTAACATTCTTATTAGTCGGATGTACTGCTCTAATGACAGCAAAGGAAACGGGTCTTCGTTCTCGGCCCCTCACACCACCACTACCTCTCGACCCTGGCCCTTCCAGAGCTCACATCGTATTATACCCCGCTTTCCGATGAGCCTTTGCCGTTGGATACCGAGCTCATCACTAAGCTCCTCTCCACCAAGGCGGTTAAACCCAGCGGCTCGACAATGAGCTTCACCACCATGACACGATCCATCGATGAGGATGAACACAGTATCGAGCTCCACCTCCCCTACATCCACCGCCTGTTGCAGCTCCAGCACCCCGACAAGCCCACCTCACAATACCCTCCTCTAGTGCCGATCATGGTGGGAAGCACCTCCGAATCCACGGAGGAAGCCTTCGGGGCCCTTCTCGCGCCGTATCTAGAAGATCCAGGCAATGCGTTTGTCATAAGCTCAGACTTCTGCCACTGGGGATCACGCTTCCGTTACACATTCTACGTCCCGCAGGCGCCCACCCCGGGGCCTAAACTCCCGCTTTCCGCTCACTCGCTCCCGCAGCCTGAGGATGACACCAAGGAGCTAGAGGACAAGATGGAGATGGGCTCGGCGGGTCAGACCCTCCAGCGGCAGGACCGTATTGGGAGTCGAGCGCCCGCCATCCATGAGAGTATCTCCGCATTCGACATCGCCACCATGGCCGCCATCAGCACCGGTGCCACAGAGAATTTTCTAGAAATCATCCGGCGGACAGGGAACACCGTATGCGGCCGCCACCCCATCGGCGTAGTCATGGCGGCCATCGAGGAGATCACGAGTCGCCGCGAGGAAGTGAAACAAGGGAGGTTCCACTTCGTTAGATATGACAGAAGCTCCGACGCTGTCGACGTCCTCGACAGTTCTGTGAGCTACGTGTCTGCGTTTGCTGTTCTATAGAGCCGGCCTCTAGAGGGGCCTTGGAGATACTCCTGTTCCTTTACACTGAATGTGATCGAGTTCTCCTCTTTTGCCTTGCTAGGCGTGGTAAGACTTACAACATCCTCCGCCATCAACCATAGGGTGTGTGCTCTATCCTCATTCGGACATATCTGCATGTAAAGGTCTGCCTCTGGGCTTCCTCCCAGACTCAGCGGTCACACTCAAACGTTGCCATCCATAACCAAGTAGAACCCTTGTTTTCCCCAGCATCCCAGAAAAGGAAGAAGAAGAAGAAGAACCACTCCTTTTGTCTTGGCCCTCAAACAGGCAGATACCTACGGAATTCCACTTAATGATGCAACGTGAGACTCCCACAACCACACCGCCCACACCAAGCTAGGCAATCTTCGAGATTGTAGGAGAACCCCAACACCCAATCAATCAACCCTGATCGCTCCCTCCCATCACATGAGATTAGACGTGGCGCGACACCAACCGTTGAAGCGTTACACGGCATGAAATTGCGAGGACGGCCTAGAAATAAGGTAAGCCCCGACGCGGGCCCCTCGTTTGGCGACGCAGCATGACCAGCCCGCCCAGCCCAGCCTCCCTATGTGTCTTAGTCTCTATCTACCTGGGATTTGAAAAGGCGCTCTCGTCGATGATCCCCAGCAGTGTACTACCTCACCAGCCCAGGCGCCGCATAACGGGAGAAGCCTATGAGCGGTTGGGGCATATGTTAAGGCTGTCTGGTGATAGCATCGCGTGGCTTACCGATCGAGCTACGAGCTTTTATGTACGTCGATTCGATGGGAATCTTTCCGCGGACGCAGAGCCAAGTCGGATTAGCCCGAGTTTGTTTGATGTTGTACTTGGGCCACTACGATAATCTATCTGCTATTGCAGATCGCGGACGACGGCTGCTATTGCCGATGCACACTGAGCGTCATCGTCGGAGAATAGGACGCATAGGGCACTTTGAACGGAAATCTCCGCGTGTGTGTTCTTGCCCTAGCCAATGGGAGGAAATACAGCATACATCAGTGTTTACGGCGGCTGGATTGGGTTACCAAGGAAGTCAATCGAGATATGTATCTCTTGACTCCCGCTCCCGCTGCGGACACTTCCGCGACGCTAGCCCTCGCTGTCCCTGATTGAGGCTATTCCAATGTCTTTGTTATACTGTCTCTATTCATGCAATGGTCCATCGTTGGAGGCTCAATGCCACTGCTGTATCCTCATGACGGTGTCGTGTTGGTGCCATGTCGATTGACCTGGACCACATCCTTCGGGTCAACCTAGTGCGCGTTATTTCCACAGTCTCGGCAGTGCTATCCCATCCCGGACAACAAACTTTAAGACGGGCCAGGGTAACAGAAAGTTTGACTCAATCCGGGGTCCTCGCGCACCGTCCAAGCGCCAAGCGCCTCTTGGATAGCCACCCCGTGATGACCAAGTGAGGGATATAGTCGCAATTCTGACCCCATGACGATGCAATCCGGGGTATCAGGGATATATCTCAACTTGGGATTGGATTGGATTGGGCTGACTGCACGCAATGACGTCGAGGCTTGGAACTAGAGAGGGTTGGTTGAAACGCGCAAAGAAGCGGATGGAGATGATGTGCGACTTTGTGTCTTGTTTGGATGGGCATGGCCATTTTTCCCACTGTAATTTCCCTCAGACATTGTCTCATTCAATTCTTCCATATCTGGAGATTATATGTATATAAAGCGTCCAACTCGCTTGTTTCTGTCTGTCTGTCTCGGTTGTCATCGGTCCTTCCTTCAACTTAGATAGATCTCCACCTGAGAGAGCCATCTCATCCACTCATTGATACAATAAGACTCCAACTTTCATTCTTCTTTCACATCATGCTGGCAAGGGTACTCTCTCTCGCACTGGCCTGCCTCTCAGCCCTAGCCAGTGCCATCCCAGCCCCAGATGTATCCGCAACCAACGACCGGCTCGTCTTCTGCCACTTCATGGTAACCCTCCTCCTCCCTTCCATTCTATTGTCTCCCAATCAGCTCCCCCAAGCTAACATAAACCCCCAAAGATCGGCATAACCAGCAACCGCCACAGCGCCTCCGACTACGACGACGACATGAAGCGCGCCAAAGCCCTCGGCATCGACGCCTTCGCGCTCAACATCGGCGTCGACCCCTACACAGACGCGCAGCTCAACCTCGCCTACGAATCCGCCGCCAACAACGACATGAAAGTCTTCATCTCCTTCGACTTCAACTGGTACCACACGGGCCAGGCCTCCGCCGTCGGCGACAAAATCAAGCAGTACGCCAGCCGCCCCGCCCAGCTCAAAGTCGACGGCAAGGTGTTCGTGTCTTCGTTCGCCGGCGACGGCATCGATGTCCCCCAGATTAAGGCCAGCGCGGGGCAAGACATCTTCTTTGCGCCGAATTTCCACCCCGGTCAGGGCGATTTCGGCGCTATTGACGGTGCGCTGAATTGGATGGCTTGGGATAATGATGGGAATAATAAGGCTCCGACGCAGGGTCATAATGTTACTGTTGCGGAGGGGGATAAGGCTTATAATGATGCGTTGAAGGGGAAGCCTTATATTGCTCGTAAGTCTTCTTTCTTTTCCCTTCCTTTGAAATATCCCCGGATAGAAAAGAAAAAGACTAACTAGAGTAGCGGTCTCCGGCTGGTTCTTCACTCATTTCGGCGGCGAAGTATCCTACAGCAAGAACTGGGTCTTCCCTGGTGATCTGCTCTGGTATAACCGCTGGCAGGAGATCCTGACCCTTGGGCCCCGGTTTGTGGAGATCGTCACCTGGAATGACTACGGCGAGTCGCACTATATCGGACCATTGTCGTCGCCTCATACAGACGATGGGGCGTCGAAATGGGTGATGGATATGTAAGTCTCGATTTTTCCCTTCCTTTCATACCCCCCCCCCCCCCCCAACCTCTTTTCATCATGTCTTGCAATCCCCAACAAGATCGAAAACTAATTGAGGAAAGGCCCCACGGCGGCTGGCTCGAAATGTCCAAACCCTTCATCGCAGCCTACAAAGCCGGCGACAAATCCCCAGACAAGTACATCACCGACGAAAAGCTCATCTACTGGTACCGGCCGACGCCACGCGACATCAGCTGCGACGAAACCGACACAACAATGCAAGGAAGCCCGAACAACGCCAGCGGGAACTTCTTCCGCGGCCGGCCGAACGGATGGGAGACGATGAAAGACGCGGTGTTCGTCGTGTCGCTGCTGAAATCAGGCGGCACGGTGGAGGTGCGCTCGGGCGACAAGACGGAGTCGTTTGAGGCGCCTGCGGGAGCGGCGGCGTTCACGGCGCCCATGGGGCTCGGCAAGCAGCATTTCTCGCTGAGTCGCGATGGGAAGGCTGTTATGGGTGAGGCGAGTTTGAAGGAGATTGTGGATGAGTGTATTTGTGGGCTTTATAACTTCAATCCTTATGTGGGCACTGTGCCGGCTGAGGAACCGGTTGATAAGTTGCTTGCGGATGGGTTGGCGATGCTGTCGCAGGGTTTGAAGGCGCCTTGTCCGACGAATACACTGGGGGTTGCTGCTGCTGCTGCTGCTACGGCTTAGTGGGTTATAGGGGTGAGATAGTTATGGTTGTGTAGGAGACTCGAGGACACTCGTTTGGAGGTGGGTATACTCTTTACTTCTGCTTGAAGATCCGCTCGTTTTCGTGACTTCATGAGTACTGTTCACTCGTTGATGACTAGTTGAGTCACTTTTTCATGTCTGGTTGAGTATATGCTCTGTTGTTATGTTCTTCAAATCGCCATTCGTTATGGGAGGACAAAAGCAAGCACGGTCACTACATGGTCATCCCGGGATAGGAAGGATACCGGCAAATTGTTATATAGTATATATTTATACGGGTATATACATACTGTTTGTCTTGTCAATTTTCATAAAGTATATTGTCTATCTCATCCTTCCCAGTTAGTGAGTAGTCGATCATGAGAGCATTCATGGTAACAATCCAGAGAGCATTGTCTACAAGGGGTCACCTGTTGATAGGAAGATTGTCCTAACATGTGATTATTGCTGGTATAATGTTAGTTCCAATCGTGGTTCCTTCCAGGGCGTTATTCGAAGAGGAGCTGGTCAGCTATTCCATAGTTGTCCTGAGAAGGATGCAGCTGTGGTTCCTGATTAGTTATAGAATTAGCTTTTGATGAACAGAGAAAGCACTTTTATTTTTTTTTTTTTTTTTGCTTTCTATTTTCATTTCGTTTTATTTTATTTTCTTTTCATTTCTTGTTTTCTTTTCATTTCTTGTTTTCTTTTCTGTTTTCTTTTCTGTTTTCTTTTCTGTTTTCTTTTCTCTTATTATAATCCTTCCTCTTTTCAATTTCCCTTCTTTTCTTTCCGTACCTTCATTCGGTACAAAGTCCTGTAACCCTGTTGTGCCATGGTAAGTAAAGGTCAATATCGCTTGGACAATGAAATCAATCCTGGCTCTGTGCCGGCAAGTCCAAATCAACCAGCCAAGCAGGATGGACAGGAAAATCATCCGGACCAGAGCTCTCCACAGCAGCATTGACAAACAGAGTTTGAGTCCCGTGTTGAAGGGGATTCGCATCATCAGAAGAGTGCCCAGTCAGGCAATACGGCCGTCGCCCACTCGCCTTGAGACTCGCGAGATCCTCAATGACCGTCGACTTGTCATGGTCGATATCCGCCAGATGGGATGGTTTCTCGCCCTGTGTTTCGTTCCACGTGACCAGTTTGGCGCCCCAGCCCCCATGGATATGTCCAAAGCAGTGCATGAGCGGTCTGGAACGAGCGACCTTCTCAAAGAGATGCTCACACCCTGCCAGCTTATCAGATAGGGTGTTATCGTCGAGGATGCCCCGCGGAGGGCCATGCGTCATAACGACGTCCGCATCCCCGATTGCAAAGTCGTGCCCTCCCTCGGAACTATACTGGAATCCCCAGTCGCCAAAGCAGGGCGTGTAGGGGCTGGCATACACGGTCAAGGACGCGCCATTGTTCAAGGTGAAATGATGGGTCCCTTCGTCGAGCAGCCGGATCCCGCTCTCCTCCCTGACGTCTGCATGGTCAAATAGTTCGCGGACCTGCGCCGAGGTGCCGTGCATGAGCTCAATCACCCGCGGGTCGATGATCTGCAGTCTCTCTGCTTCGCGGATCTTGTCCTGGTAAGCGGGCGGATCGAGGGTGAAGTCGTGGTTGCCTGCGATGACTAGTTTGAGGGGCGCGTTGATCCGCTTGAGGAGGGTAATCGCTGCTTCGTATTCTTCTAGCATGGATCTCCGAGTGAGGTCGCCGCAGTGGATGGCCACGTCTGCGGATTCATTGCATTGTATGATGTCGCGGCCGTGGGTGTCTGAGATGACGAGGATTCGGGTTTTGATGGTAGGTTGGGGTTCGGACATGTTGAATCTGTTGTCCCGCGGTTCCTTGTACATCAGGTAGTTGTAAACAGGGGAAAGAAGAATCTTCAATATTGAAAAAATCCATGCATTCCCATCAGGCTGTCCCCCCACTAGTCCAGCCTTGTGGGTTTCCAGCTTAAGGCCCCGAGGTAAACCAAATCAATAGGAACGTTGAACCCCTGACCGGGTCCTTATCTTATCTCTGCCCGCCAACAAACACAGCCTAATAAATGCCTCACATCCACGGGTCAAATCGACTTCATCCTCACCGACTCTTTTTCTTCAGCCTTTTTCGGCCAGCAACATGGATGAGTGTCTCGCACGTTTGCGAGAATGAAGGCGGGTATAAAAAGACGCAGCCTGGCTGTCCTCTTCAGGAAAATCGCGCTTACGCCCGGCTTCTTCCCCTCTTCTCCGCACCTTCTCCACCTCTGACCTGACCTGACTTGATCTCTGACCTCGGAGCTGAACTGTCATCCTTCTCTTCTTCCTGTCTTGCTTTCTTGTTTGCACATATTGTGTTGATTATCTATTCCTATACACACGATGGCCAATTAGCATATGCCCCCGGACTCTGAACAGGTGGTTGTCAGCAGTTGAGGGAAATCCATACTGTACAGAACCGCGATGGCGAGGATCAAGCAGGGGGTATTTTCCTGGGAGGATGTGCTGGCACATCGGTACCAGAGTGCGTCTACCAACATACATATACAGATACGGGTAAAGAAGGACGAGAGAATAGGGAACTAACACCACAACAGACAACAAACCCACCGCCCTCACTAATCTCAAGAGCCAGCCCCAGCAGGCTGAAGCAGAAGCAGAAACAGACACACAGACACAGACTCGGGCCGACAGAGAAACAGGCGACTACCCATCCTACACCCCCCAAACCCAGAGCCTCCTCCTCGGCAAACTCTCCCCAGAGCTCCGCCTCCTCATCTGGGAGTTCGTGTTCGCAGACTTGCGCCTGCACATCGTACAGCGTCCCAACAGACGCATGGGCCACGTCGTGTGTCCCGGCACCGCAGTGTCCTGCGAGATATGCCAGGGAGGACTGCCGTGTCCGAAAAAGGGGCCGAGTGGGCTTCTTGCGCTGTCGATGGTTTGTAAACAGACGTATGTTTACCTTCTTTATCTCCCGGTGTGTGTCGATACACAACAAACCCACGACACACAAACGTACAAGTACAGCGAAGAAACAATCTCACAAAACCAAACAGCCACATAGAATCGCACCACCTCCTTTACACCCAGCCAACATTCGAATTCAGCACGACCTGGTCCCTACCCTACCTCCGACTGACAATTGCCCCAGAACACTGGCACGCAATCCAAGCAGTCGAGCTGCGGTGGGCCTTTCCAGGCCACTGGCTGCCGAGCAAGGACCCAGTCAAGCATGTGTATTTCGCGGCGGGACGAACGCAGTGGATCGAGACGTGTCGGGCTGTGGCGGAGATGCGCGGCCTGCGCAACTTCACGTTGAGAGTCAGTGGGGCGTGGTTCTGTGAGCCGGCGGAGAGGATTCCTAGCTTTCTGGAGCCGCTGCGGGGGATGGGCTGTAGTGCTGGGGGTGGGTGGAAGTTGGTGCTGCCGAAGCAGGTCTGCTATGGGGGGGAGTTTGAGGGGATTGGGAGGGAGTTGGGGGGAAGGGGATGTCGGGTTTCTTTTGGGTGATCTGATTTTTTGTAGTTTGCTTGGTGCGTATACGTAGGTTTGATTATATACTATAGTTATACTCGATATCTATTAGGTATATTTGTATCTGTATAAAGGTATAATAGTATCCACGGTCAGCAGGGGGTGAACCACTGTACAACATTAACACAATAACTCTACGTAGTACACCTCTAGAGCAAAAGAGGTACTTACTACATCCATGTCAGTATGACCTCAACATCAATGTCTCAGTCCCCCCACTCTCAAGCAAGCAGCAAACATCTACTAGTATATTATAATACTAGTAGCAACCTACCCCATACCCACAAACCAAACAAACCAAACCAAAAAAAAAAAATTTTTTAAAAAAAAAGTTAGCTTAATAATACGATCATACTAAAATGAGTTAACCACCAGCATTCCAGTCCCTTAGTATGTCCCACGTAGCATGCAGCATGTATGGAAGAGAGGAGGTCGGTATGTCAACTCCTCCGTAACCACAACTAGTACCTACCTGCTAGTGCCTACGAATCAGACCTAACCCAAACCAGAGATAGTCCTGTCGATCATCTCGTTCTTCCCGCACTGCCTCGCTATAAATAGCACGGTCTGGTTGCATCGACCTTTTTTCCTTTTTTGGGGGGGGGTATTGAGATTTCGATCCTGGCTATGGGGTACCACCACTACTACTACTACCGTAATGGAGGACTTGCATTGTCGGTATTGGGTTAGTTGGTATTTACTAGTAGTAGACTGTGAGGATCTAAGGATTGCTTTGAGAACGTGGTTGAAATTGTATTGTTTGTATGGTATTGATTGTATTCTCTTCTCTTTTTCTTCTCACCTCCTCTCCCCAGAGGAAAGACATAAGAACATAAGAGAGAGCTTAAAAAGTTCTTCATATCATCTCAACCAACTCGGACCTACTACCTACCTAATAACTTACCCTCCAATCAATACGAAGTACATCTTTTCCAGAAACCCACCCCAGGTACCAACGGTACCAAAATACCATACCCTATTAAAACCAACCCCCCCCCCCCCAACCCAATTCTCCCCTCAAACAATAAGTTGATTCTTTCACTTTCCGGGGTTCGACTCCATCTCCCACCCTTAGCGCGTATAGATAGATTGATATCGTCCGTGCCTAGGGCTAATCCAGTTAGTAGTATCTAGATGGGCGGGCTGTTCGTTGGGTGTTGTCACCGTTGTGTTCGCTAGTACATACACTATACTGGGTACCTTTGACCTGTCCATTGTTAGGATAGGCTGACTAGTACTTAGTTACTTGGGTAGTTAAGGGTCTGGACGCTCGTTGGGTTGATATTCATTAATTTTTAGTACTTCCTACCTACTTACAGTACTACCGTGCTACACTGTACTTCATGCGCATGGTGGTATGTAACGTGGTTGGGATGTCCCTGATCCATTTGGTTCATTTACTGGTTCGATCTACTAACCATTGGATATTCATTAAGGGTAGAATTGGTGAATTCAATCATCAGCTTAAATTCAAATTCCAAACTAAAGAGGTATCCGAATCTGAGATCGCCAGGAGTCAGAAAAAAAGGAAGTATAAAAAAAAAGATAAAAGAAAAAAGTGGTGAAAATGCTCCTCCGGTTCCAACCATGCAACCTATGTACTAAACGTACTCAAGTGTCTCGTACAAACATGCTCGGTCGGACCTCTTCGCGCCCAACCGCAAAGAAAATTAAAAAAAAAAAAAAAAAAGCCAAATTAAGATGATCATATCACGGACCCAACCTCTGCCGTGTTCCCAACATGATTCCCGATGAATCGTGTTTTTTTCCAGTATGCTCATAAAGATGAAGTAATGAAATAGGTAAAAAAAGGTTAGGAGAATTGCCTCAACGACGGTAATAATAACCAAGGAAATCATCATGATTGATGCTGTATGCTGTATGCTGGTCATAGACCACAAGTAAAGAAAATGCGACAGAAAGATCGTGGATATATCAACGAATCTCAATTTTGATTCGTTCATCGTCGACTGGACGCCTCCAGAAGACGGGGATCCGTAGATCCAAGGGGCTAACCCCGAAACGGTGGTAGCCCGGTCAGTCACCTTCACCTGAGTTGAACTCGGGAAGTGTGATGACGGGGCTGCGGCGGGTCGACAGAATGTTTCGGTCGGCTGATGTCTGGCCGACCGTCGGACATGTCGCTTCCACGGATTCAAAGATCCGATCGGATCAGTCCAGCCAAGCAGCGTTCGTGTATCGTGGGCTGCGCGGGCCGTGAAACGGGCGTGGCGTTCCCGTTCCAACCAAGCCGAACGGGAGAAGAAAGTAAAACAGAGAGCAACCGACCAATCCGGTTAAAAGTAGAGACTGTTATTGTCCATCCGATGATCGGTCCGGTCCAGACTGACCGGCCCGTCGGGTGGTGAGAAACTCTGTTTCAGCCTCCTGTCGCTTCTGTTCATCGAGGCGACTGCTGGAATGTCGGGGAAGGATGTTGTTCAACTCCGCGGCCAGGGCCGAGGTCGTGTAGGCGCGCAGCTCCCTTTCCTCCCGGTCGTCTTCTTTGGTCAACCGCTTCAAGTCCGTCTTGCCCAGGTTGTCCCGTCGCTTCTTCCGGATTTCCTGGATCACCCACACGAGGACTTCCTCCGGGGCGCGGTTGCGAGGGGCTCCGTGCTTGGCGGGACTGCGCACGTACCGCCGCGTGACGTCCGTCGCCCCCTCGATCGAGAAGGCAACGCAGTACGACATCTTGCGACCCCAACCCTCGGCATACAGGCGAGGTTGGTCCCACGCGTCCTCGCAGGCATCGACGTGGACCCACCGCCGTTGATGCTCCGAGTACACCTCCGTCCAGACGTAGTCCTCTGAATTCCACACCCACCGCACACGGCCTCCCAGCGCCCGGCAAAACATGCTGAAGCAGTTGGCCCATTCGCCGACCCGCCCACGGCGGGTCTGTAACAGCTGCCAAACATCCGAGTACCGAGGGAATCTCTCAGGGGCACCACAGGTGGGCTCGGAGCATCGGTAGAGTTCCACACGGGTGGCTCCCCGGGCGGTCTCATCGGGAGTGGGCGGCGTCATGCCCTGGGCGATAGTAGGCATAAAGCACCGGTTGCACGGAGGGTTGTTGACGAATTGGAAAAAGGAGCGCTTGAACCATCTAGGGGCACGGTCGGTGTTAGTAACGATTCCCTTGTCTTCCAAACGGGAGAGGATCAACGTGTCGGACTCACCTTAATAATGCGCGGATCACGCAATCTTGGTAGCCCCATTCAGCCTTGCCTCTCACACTAGCAGCTTGAGCCTGGAAGATCTGACTCTCCTCCTCCGCCTCCGAGTAGAGTCGATCCAGTGGGATCAAGGCGAGCGCCTCGTCCAAAAGGCCCGGGTTCTCGTATTTGGTCGGGGTCACGGACAGGACATGGAGAAGGTTGCGGAATTTGAGCGACGCTGAATCTTGAGGGGGTGCTGGGACGATAGGGAGGCCCCAGAGAGGCGACCGTGACGAAGGTTGCGGGGTGGATGGCGTCGGGGATTGAGCTGCGGTCGGCGGCGGTGGTGGTGCTCGTGATGGATGGGGCGGCGTGTTGTAGGGGCTCGGAGACATGGGCGCGGGTGACTGGGTTCGAGAACGGGACCGAGACTGTTCCTGAAGACGGTTGAATCGTTTGGTGCGCATCAATTGTTCAAAGGCCTGGGTGAGTTCGGAAGGGTCGAAGTGGTCCATTCTCTGACCCCGTCGGGAGTGGTGGTGTCTACCGTCCGGCATGATGGTCAAGGGAGGTCGACGACACCGATCCTATCGACCCGAAGTCTCCAGAATTTGAGTGATGGATGGATATTGATGGATATTGGCGAGAAAAATTTTGTCTCGCGGGACGTATATATTCGGGAGAGACAGGAGACGAAAGGTCGACAGCGAAAGGACGGACGAATCCAAGGTTGGGCAGGATGGATGGTGAAATATGGACGGTAGAGAGGACGAGTGAGTCGCACAGCCCAGCTAAACGGTTGCCACGTTTAGCGCCGGAGAGGGGGGTACGGTGGATGAATTTATTGAGTTCAGCGATGGCGTATAGATGGATGAAATTCGGAAGGAATAAAGAGTGATATGAAAAGGATTAATATTATAGAGGAAAGAAGACGGATGGAAAGAGAAAAAGGAAAGCGAGAGTTAGAGAGGGCGAGAGAAGTCGAGATGGATGAGAAGGGATAGAGGAGGGAGGGGGAGAGAGAGAGAGAGAGAGACGAAAGACGAGAGAGTATGTCAAGAGGAGAAAGAGAGGAGAGAGAGAGAGAGAGAGAGAGAGAGAGAGGAAAATGGTGGTGAGCAGACAAGGAACTTCGACCCCAGTTTCCGACCAAGTCAACTTCTCACTAGTAACTAGTCGAGTCAGAAAAGAAGATTACATGGGATTGAGAGCGAACTGGCGAAGCGTCGTCAGCCTTGGTCCTGTCCCGCCAATCACAGCCGTCCGCCAGCACCGCAAGCCGCGTGTTGTTGCTGTGCCGCCCCGAAACAGTCGTCCGTACCGTACGGTATGTACGGTATGTATGGTATGGTATCCTATCTATTAGTCTAGTCTTCCTCTTCCAATCTCTCCCATCCATCATCTCTCTCTCTATGAAGATAGGAATATCATCACTTCATCTCGGTTGGTTCGTTTCTCTCCATTTAGTTCATTCTTTCTTTTTTTCTTTCATGGCTGAAATAATGGGTGAAAGATCATGTCCCACAATACACGCTGTCAACGAGGCCGGCTGACGAAATCAACTAAAAAGCTTGGCTTCTGGTGCTCCTCTGGGCCCATACGCAAGCTCTTCCACTGTCCAGTCTTTGACGCTTGACCCCTATTGAAATTTTATCTTGTTCTAGTGATCCCGATCTTCACTGATAGATGTCCATCTATCGAATGGGAGGATGATGCTTGTACGACTTGAACACTTACGCCTGCCCATGATCTCGACTCAACGTCAGCTGTCTTACGCGGCTGTGACCATCTATACAACCAATACCGTTAAACCTATATTTCCTAGCTTCCAGTAGTAGCCATCCTATCTAAAGGGACCTAGAGGGAGGGAGCTGCTCAATACTACTAATAGTAAGATAGGTATCCAGAACGCCTTACAGGTCTACCTGGCAGTCTTTCAGTCCACAATCCGGGTGCTGACGAATCACGCGGAAATCCTTACGGATCTATTGTCGTGATAGGTACTCCCGCCGTCGACATTCTTCTTTTCTTTCCGAAGAAGAACGTCAATCCTTTTGATATAATTCGGTCCTTGTCAAACCGGTTGTCATTGATCTGGTTGGGGTAACCGGGTTGGGACTGTCCAGCGAGAAGGTCGGACGGTGTTGATGATCCCGGTGATCCTGATTAGAAAAAGCCACCGATTTTTATTTTTATTTTTATTTTTTATTTTTTTCGATTTTCTCCAGCTTCGTCGGTAACTCCATACATACCATACTTACTCAACCACTAACCATCGTTTTTACCTCGAGATAGGATTTCCACGAAAATCCTGTGAACAGTGGACACGAAAAAAAAATTCATTCCCTATCTCTACCTCTATCCACGTTGTCTCCAATTTTTTTTCTCTTCCCAGTGGGGTCCAAGATGTGACTGTGACTGGGAGGTGAAGATCAACGAGTTGATCGCTGGAGCAAGACCCAGACTCCACGGACACGTAACGATGACCCAACAGCCCACATAATATGGGCTTGCTTGCTGTACATATAAGAATCACCCACCCCTCCCTGTCTCCTTCCCCCGTCGTCCAAATAGATACCCCCTACAGGATGGGGGGGCCACACACACGCGGCGTGATGCATTTTTGATGTATTGTGTCTCCACCTACTGTGGACGCCCACTGCACGAACCACGTCCTTGCCACCAGCGAGCGAGCTTCTTTACCGGGTATGACTGACTCAGTCAGCCCCCGGGAAGGAGACGAACCGACTGGTGGGAACCTTAATAAAGTAGTACTACTGGTCAGGACCTAAGGCACCAAGCCCTCTCCGCTATATACCTATTAGTAACGCAATATGAAAGATTAAAAAACAAAAACAAAAAACGAGAAAATAAAGAAAAAATATCTAACCATCCACCCAATCCACCCAACCTAGATGGAATAAGCTAAATCAAACTAACACAACTAAAAAAGGGTTAACATTCATTCATCAACAATGGACGATGAAAAAACCGGTCGGGTCGGTGTCACGAGCTTACGGCATCAGCCATCCAGGCCATGCCCTTTTCTCACTTCTCCCTTCAAACCAGTTCGATGAGTGGCGGAGACGCGCAAGCGTCCGTCTTGGCTCCAGGCTCAAGAAGATCGGGCTAGGGGAAAGGGAGAGCTTCATCAGATACTAACCTACTACTAACTTACTGCCAGAGCGACCCACTCACCGCGTTAGACCCCTTTCTTCATTTCCTTAACAGATACTGTATTGGGCGTTCAACCGCCCTGCCTGCCTGCCTGCCTAGCCCTCGGAGAAGGAGTCCCTGGACGGGTACTGGACAAGGGGTCTTGGCGTGGATGCCTTTGTTCGGGATGATTATCGGAGTATGCGAGTAGGTTAGATGATGTTTACATCTTGATAATTCACATTGTATTGTTATTCATCTATAATTCAATCTTCATACTCAGATTATAATGTTGATATTCATACTAATACTCTAGCTCAACATTAACATCCAATACAACAGTACCATCCATTCATAACAATATTAACAACGTCGACCTGATCCCCCTGCAATCTCATCCCGAAACACCGGACGCACACGCCAGGAGCCGACCCGGCTCTCGCACTAATTGCTGCCTAGGAACTACAACAACCACAACAACATTACATAATCCCATCATCAGCATAACTCCGCCAGCATAACTACTACATTGCAACATCCAGCTACGTGAGGCGAGATGGGCGAATTGAAGGGGTTCAAGGCATGCACGTCCTGAATAACTCTCGCACATCGATCGCGATCGAGACCGTGGCGGTGTACTCGCCGAGAACGGACGGTCCGATCTGGTATGCTGGACAGGAGGTGGTCTAGCCCTGATGTGGGATTGTGGTTGTATTCGAGGGTTGTGTTTGTGAGATGAGTTATGCTGGTGGTAGTACTATGGGATGGGCATGACTTCATATGTTGGATTCTTTGTCCTGGAAGGATGATGGATGGATGGGCTGTGGCGACGTTGGCGCCCTTGCAGGATGATAGCGTGTAGGATATGTATTGGGTTTTCTAGTATTGAAATCGAAGCTTTCAGAGAACGGATGGAAATGCTTGAGTGGGTGCTTGGTATTCTGCTATGGCTTACCTTAGTTGAGCGCTAGAGTGACCTAAGTGGTTATGCGATTGTTTGAAACTCGCTTGCCCTAACTTCTATATATATATTAGTATGGAGTTCAATGGTCGAGTCTACCAACAGTCCACAAGGTTACTCATGTCCATATCAAATTTGCCTATATTAGATATAGTAGAATGGATGGAGATCAATCAAATTGTAGTGGACACTAAAGGAGGTATATATATCACAAAAACCACTGAAACCCTCCATTAGTCAACACAATGGTGTCCTTGGTATACCGTATACCACATAACCACCGCCGTAACCACCAACTCGACTACCATTCTTGAGGACGATTGTTATAGATGGACACTCATCAGGCAGTCTCTCTTCAGTTCTTTGCGTTCAATAACAACTCGCAAAATCGAGTATAAAGCTTGTTCGATGCGTCAGCTACTCTTTTATATACGATTCTGTACTTGTACGCAGGAAGCCCTAACTTCTCCCTTCGTAATACATTATAATTATCAATAAATTTGGATTATACCGATATATCTTGAGACTAAGTATTAATACAGGTCTTTAGAAGTAATGATCTCTAGTTCCTTCAGATTCAGATGGAGATAATAAATAGAGTTGATAATATTCTAGAGCTTGGTTAATATCATGAAACAAATCTATATTTTCAGGATAGATATTCTTCTTTATAAAGTAAACAGGGCTCTGTTAATACTGACTAGAGGATCAATTCCTCATAACTTATAATAAATATAATATATCTTATAACGGACTTGAAGCTTTTGATAATCTTATCTCATATTTATACTCCCCTTGGTTCATCTGCTGCTGGGCATAGATAAAAATATCATGTAAGTTGCTCGCACGTCTTGACGATTAATGCTACCAGGCTATAAAGTCTAACTTCACCACCGGTGTATTCCAATCTCCCGTGAATCAATCACCACTTCTGCCTCGCCAACTCAAGCCAAGTCCACCAAACACGCGCCACTTCCAAGCAGAGCCGCTTAGCGCCTAATAAATGAAGTGTCATAGAAACTCAGCCACGACGGATTGCAGCCTTGTCTTAATTTTGATTGAAGGGTGGAGATTGCAGACACAAGCAGACCCTGCTAGTGAGAAACATAGTGGCTTAGAGCATGACGGGAAAGACCCAAGTCAGGAATATACGAATAAGACTAGCTCCCTTTCCTCCGCAACCCTGGGGTGGCATCATGCCCAGCATTTAGTCCACTTCTAGCGCAGGCTTTTAATCTCAACGCCTCCCATGGCGATTTTGTGGGATGGTGATGGGGTCTGCTTGGCTTGAGCCTCTAGTGCCTGAGTGAGTAAAAGAAGTCTTATAAGACCATCAGAGTCTGCTGTCTTCTCGCTTATCTATCTTTCAATTTAACTCTTTCATTTTTACCGGACTATTCTCTATTTACTCAACTCTGCCCCTTGATATCATTTTATCATGCGTCTCCTCCCTGTCACTGTCCTGGGCCTCGTCTCTGTTGCCGCTGCTGCCAACGCCGATGCCTACACTGATGCCTACGCTAATCTCAAGACCTGGAACGACGTCATGGGTGACATCCCCAACTGCATGAAGAAGACCATGAACATCTTCTACAAAGATGGCGTCGTGGACAAGGAGTGTGGTGCCCCTGAAAAGGCCACCGATGACTGTCTGTGCAAGCCCAAAATCAAAGAGGACATCTCCTACATCATGACTGGTGTGAGCGACCTGGACAGCGCCTTCAAGAACGCATGCACCCATTCCGAGTACACGGATAATAGCAACAAGCTAGATGGTCTGGATAAGCGCCTCAAGGGTTTGCAGAGTCATTGTCTAGCCATGTGTAAGCTATAGTTAGATCCTTTCCCGTTCTGTGTGTAAGCGTGTCTGACTTGTGTTTGAACTCTTTAGCGTTAGAGGATAGTAAAGACAACTCTGATCCCGATAATGACTCCGATTCTAACAGCGCTGGTTCCCTCCTGCCTGGTGTGAGCAAGTCTATGCTTGTTATTGGTGCTCTTGTTCTCCCTGCTGTACTTTGAATAGAAGTATTTTCGCATATAATAATCATGAAATCTTGCCTATACTATTTTGCCGAGTAATTGTCTTTGCGGTCGTGCTGGCGCGGGTCGTCGTCAAATGATCCGGGGATGACAGTCCCGCCGTGTTGGCCCCCTCGATGGATGATGCCTGTCCCCAGAGCGGTTCCCCCGTAAGCGTGTTCCCCATCGGCCGCGTCAGTACGCTATCCCCATGGACTCGTCGGACAACCGAATGCCCAAGTTGGGCTCCTCCTACAGCGACTGCGCGTGATTGTTCTCCCGTCTAAAGTAGCTAGATTTGTCGCGACGTTGACGCGGCGGACGACCCATGGCGGCGACATTGCTGCGAGCTGTTTTCCCAGACGCATCGCAGCTTCTGGCCTCGACAGCGGCCGCAGGCCGGACGAGGACCGCTCGACTTGATGACACCGTCCGCCATGGGAGCGTATAGGACCGTGGAGGCTACAGATAAGGTCAGATCGCGAGAGGCTGTGGAAATGGTTGCCGTGATGACTGTGGATGCCGTAGTTTCATGCCGACGGAGGAACCAGTGCATGCGCCGGTGGACGATGATAGAATGAGAAATGATATGGAAGACGATGGGCGAAGTCTATTTGTACAAAGCGGCGATCACGGGGTCGATCCCGTGTGGGGGAATCCCAGGGGGAGGGTTGGCGTTGGCCAGGATTTTTAGGCCACCAACCACAAAATATCCCACCTTGTATGGATTTTACTCTTATTTGAACAAGACAGACATTCATAATTGGACATTCTGGAACTCACTATCAAGGTGGGACCCATCAAGAGGCCCTACCATAGATATAATTGCCTCTATCATCTATGATAAATGCTACTACAACTTAGATGTTCAAGGCTTGCATTTTTACTACCAGAGTGAGTGGCCGTAATCATGCCTCTTTATAAGCAATCTATAGTCGACGCTTGCCTGGGAAGAAACATTGTCAAGGGCTGGAGCGTTAGGAGGAACTAAGAATGGAATCCATTGTGATGTGTATTCAATTCAATCAATAGTTATATGGTGACTTTGATCCAAACATCAGTCAATATTGAACGTATGCTGTGAAATGTCATAGTCCAGCTAAAAACCCCTAGGTTAGTTACATACAGTGCTGCCCATAGTCATTTACAGGTCTGAACATATTCCAATAGTACTATATATCTGATATAGTAAGAAATGATATCTATCAATACATCCAGTCTCCCGGTGATTGACTCCCTTCCTGGTACGAAGAAACAGCAGGAACCAACACCTATCAAAAGACCCCTATCCCGAAAACATGATACGTCTCTGTATGTAATATGTATGTGGGTATGTAAGTGGGTACTGGATAGACGCATACTGGCCTCGCGATGACGAAATCGGCATGTCTTTTTCTACTAGTTTATTGATCCAGTCTTGCGTCATAGCGGGAATACATATGCCGGCGGACTTGCTTGGCTATTGCTTGAGTATTCGGATGTTCTCCACAGTTTGTTGGTATTGTCAGTCGGGGATAAAGTATGCTTCGTAATGGATATGAGAGAAGGCTGCGCGGTGTGTATGCGCAATCCCTTTGGTTGGTTGAGGTTGCTTTCTTGCTTGCTTGCTTGCATTTGTTTTGTCTCGAATGCTGTCTTGGAATGTCTCGGATGTAAGTATAGAAGCACATTAAAATCGTCAGTGAAGATTCCTCGCGCAGTTTCCTCGCTATGAGATCCACCGTCGTAGTATTTCGTGTAAAAAAAAAGAAAAGAAAAGAAAAAGAAGAGAAAGAAAACCCTTGGATGAACTCATACGGTAACCCCATATTTCTGAACCCACTATCTCAAAGCAGTATACAAATACAAGGGATGATACGCGCAGATCGGCACTCTCAAAATTCTGATCTACCGTTTGAATGATCATCCGTAGACTGAGACGTCGATCGATCGGCCGGATGACGGGATAGGGCAGAAAGGGTTATACTAATTGCGCTTTGGAGACCATGGATTGGTTGTTCATGATGACTATCAGTGACTACTACGGGCTGGGTTATGTCGGACAATTGTCGGTCTCGTCACAGGGTGGGGGCTGGAAATCGAAGATTGTGGGGATTGAGAGTGATGGCGCCATAGAAAGTCCTGTCTTGTGAATCTCTTTGGGGTGGTCTATGTATGGTAAATGGTTGTATGTATGCTAAGATCTATCTTTGAGACCGCCAATATGCTACGCTATCTGCACGAGCTAACCCGCTCCTGTGGCTTCGCCCACACAAATCTCAATCAAATGCAAGAAGGGAAAAGAAGGAAGAAGAAAAAAGCCAGAGAATCATTACGCCGAGCCTCTGGATAGCTCGTCCACGAAAGACTGTCCCCAAAAAGCGCTATGCAGGTTAGACATCTTCCAACCGGGGGGGGCTTAATTCGGACGACTAACCTGGTGTATTTGGAGATGTATTTGTAGAGTTTGCCGAACTTCGCGGCCCGTTCACCATCACTCATTGAGACCGCTTCCTGGTATGCCGCGGCCAGTTCCTCGGTGTTCCAGGGGTTGACAATAAGACTCCCGTTCAAACTCTGTGCGGCCCCCGCAAATTCCGATAGAATCAGGACGCCTTTGCGCGCCTGCTGCGTGGCGATGTACTCGAACGACACAAGGTTCATCCCGTCGCGCGTTGATGAGACAATGCAGGCGTCGGAGACGGCGTACAGCGCGATAAGTTCGTCGAAGTTGACGGATTTGTGCATGAAATGGATGGGCATGTAGTCCACCGTTCCTATACTAACTGTTAACATCTACTACCACCCGAAGCGGTCATCAGTATATCGTACCAAACCTTCCGTTGATCCTCCCCACAAGCTCGTTGACAACCGTTCTCAGGTTCTGGTATTCCTCCACATCCTGGCGACTCGGGACGGCCACCTGCACCAGAACGACCTTGCCTACCCATTCCGGGTGGTTGGAGAGGAAGACTTCTAAGGCGTGCAGCTTCTGCGGGATCCCCTTGATGTAGTCGAGACGATCCACGCTTACCATCAGCCTAGTGCCCTTGAACTTGTTTTCTAGACTGGCAATGCGGTTTTGAACCTTGGGGCTCTTCAGGCCCTCGGTGAACTTGTCGGGGTCAATCCCGATTGGAAAGGCCCCCACGGCGACAGATCTACCCTCAAAAGTCACGCTGCTAGGAGTAGTTACTAGCTCTCTATGCACCGTCAGCTCATGTCGCACAGTTAGTACTCGCATATGAACCTACAGAATATGAGTGCAACTGCTCAGGAAATGGCGAGCATAGTCATAAGTGTGGAACCCGATTAAGTCGCAGTGCAAGAGGCCCCGAAGAAGTTGGCCCCGCACGGGTAGAATGCGGTAGATTTCGCTACTGGGGAACGGAGTGTGCAGAAAGAATCCGATGCGGACGTTCTCCTTGCCCAAGGCCCGCAGTTCCTCGCGGAGGATCTGGGGCAGGAGCATAAGGTGGTAATCATGGATCCACACCAGATCTCCCTCCCGTGTCTCGGTAGCAATGGTCCGCGCAAACAGACGATTGGCCTCGCGATAAGCATCCCAGGCCCCTTCGTCGAAAACGATCTCCCCGGGATGGTAGTGCAGGAGAGGCCAGAGGATCGAGTCTGCGGGAGTCAGCATCAAATTGGCTGTCAACAGGAGGGTTCAACACATACTGGAAAAGCCATTGTAGTGCCGATCAGCCAATGTATCATCCATGAATACCGGCATCGCATTGAATTCGTCATTGAGTCTCTGTGTCACCGACGCGACCTCGTCCCCTGGCACTTCTAGGCCTGGCCAACCAAACCACTGGAAGGTTGTACTCTTGGAGAGGCCGCTCAACCCTGTCACCAGGCCACCAGATGACATGGAGAATTCATACTTACCGCCTTCCGACCGTCTCACTGTAATTGGGAGACGATTTGAGACGATCAGAAGGCGAGATTTGCCTGACGGAGAGACTATTGATGGCATGAGGGTAGGACGGAACCCACGAGAGATATCAGTCGGTGTAGATCAGAGGGGTGGGAGAGTCAGGTAATTAGTATAATATTGAGATGGAGACAAATTCAATTGTGATATAGTATGTATGAGAGAGAATGAAAAGAAAATACAATCTAGAAAAACGAAGCAGATGAAGTGGCAGTCCTCCGTAGATAGGGTAGTAGAATCCAAGAATTGGGTGGGGTCGAAGTCAGTGACTTTTTATGCACTTCATTCATCGCCCTTGTTTTTCCTCCTTTAAACCAACCTCCATCACCACATCAACTACTTTACCTTCATTCTCTCACCATCCGTCTCTCTCTCTCTCTTTCTCTCTCTCTATCACTTTCTTCCCTCTTCCATCTATCTGTCTTTCAACTTCTTTCAGACCTTCCAATTGCAACTTCCTCCCCTTCCATCTCCGTCTCCGTCTCCGATTCTGGTTGCGGGTTAGCGTGGTGGAGACCGTTGATTCTCCGGATCTGGCCGGGATATCAATCAGTCTGCAGGCAAGTCTAGGTTCCTTTTAGTGGCTTACAGGAGGTTAGAACATGATCAGATAACAGTACCTGGATGGACATCGCACCGTTGATTGGCGAGTGGATTCTATATACAATGTCTTTTTCCCCATATACAAACTTGCATCTTTTTGCCAGCCATGCCTAGACTTTCATACCCCTCACTCCCCTCATGATGTCTTTCCCTCGGGTGCCTAGATCGCTTTTCTTTTTGTCTCTTTCGGATGTTTCACGGAAAGCTTGCAGGGTTCCATGGCCCAATCATTCATTTTTGCCATTGTCCTTCCGTGACCCTTTGGACCGTGCTGCGGGTGTCGAATTGCCTACTAATTTCCAGGACATTCTCGCTCTGTGCGACATTTAGATAAATGGCTCTTAATCATCTATCATCGTCGTCATCACCGTCCTTGCCAACATTTGGTCCGTGTTAACGACAGGTTTATTATGAACTCGGGATACTCGTGCCATTCTCGATCGACCACCCCCTTGAACGGTAGAGACCACCAGACCGATAAGAAACCGTTGAATCTAGGGATTGATTATCCGACCCACCGGCCCAATGACAGTCTTTATCGCCTCAGTGTATGCGCCCTTGCCTCTGATGATCACAGGAATCACTGATCGTTCTCGATAGTTTTCTTCCTTATACCATCGACTTTCAAGCGACTGAGCTAAAACGTACCCGTCGCATGTCATCCGTAAGCCACGCACATGCAAACGACCAGATTATAGGACGCTTGGCGGAAGCTCGTCGGAGACGCGACTCCAAAGCTTATAGCCTTTCTCCCACACCGGGTGCTACCACAGAAGATGAGAGAATCTTCAAGCCCTATGCCTCGCGTTCGGCAGGTGAGATTCCTCTGGCGGATGATCCTAATGGACCGGGTCCCAACGAACCGCGGAACGTCTCATGGGGCCAAAGCCGAAAGTTCAACCAGCCACGCTCCAAGGCGTCGCTCTACCCGGAGTCCTCCATCCTGAGCCGTCCTGGCTCAGGTGAAGGCATGAAAATTGACACTTCTCTCGACGACCCTTTGCCAACGCTGGATTCGGAGGAAGACTATGGAAGCCCTCGCGCCCTTCTCTCCGACGTCGATTGGGCTGTCAAGGCAGCCGAACAGGGCAACGGCGGCCTCCGCAATGCCGTCAAGATTGCGGAAAAGTCCGGGTTCCTCCCTGATAAAATGTGGGTTGGCACATTGGGGATGCCGACCGATTCACTCAAGGATGAAACTCGTGCCAGTATCTCGGAGATGCTGGGGGATGCATTCGAGTCGCTGACGGTCTTCGTCGGTGATAGCGAATTTGAAGGACACTATGACCATTTCTGTCGCACGATGCTATGGCCAGCGCTTCATTATCAGATGCAGGAGAGCCCCCGACATACTGAATATGACGACTATGCCTGGAAACAGTACGTTAAGGTCAACGAGGCATTCGCCCAAACCATCATTGCCGATTGGCGCCCTGGCGATAGCATTTGGGTCCACGACTACCACCTTATGCTGTTACCCTCGCTGCTGCGGGAGAAACTTCCCACGGCCGAAATTGGCTTCTTCATGCACTCTTCCTTCCCGTCCTCGGAAGTTTTCCGGTGTCTCAACTCCCGAGAGGCGCTGCTCTATGGTCTTCTCGGTGCAGATCTGGTCGGTTTCCAGACGGACGAGTATTGCCACCACTTCCTCCAAGCCTGCAGTCGCCTTCTCCGTCTAGAGATTTCCGTCGACGGTGTACAACTCCGGCGCCGTCTCGTTCATGTCAAGACGACGCCCATGGGTATCGATGTCGAAGCGCTGGACGAGTTGCGCCGGTTTGCTGAAGTCAAGGATTGGATGTCCAATATCAGTTCTCGGTACAAGGGAAAGCAGTTGATCATCGCGCGGGACCGACTGGATGCTTCAGGCGGTATCAAACAGAAGCTTCTGGCATACGAGTTGTTTTTGAAGAAGTACCCCAAATGGAGACAAAACGTATGGCCCTCCGTCCCCTTCTCCAAACAGGAAGCTGACCCATTTAGGTCGTTCTGATCCAAGTTGCCTCGGCATCGGAAATGCCGGAGCTCGAGACACAAGTCTCCCAGATTGCCATGAGAGTCAACTCTTCCTATTCAACTCTCACCCACCAGCCCCTGGTCTTCCTGAGGCAAGATACCAGCTATTCCCAGCTCTTGGCGCTCATGAGCGTCGCCGAAATCTTCTTGGTCACCAGTTTAAGAGAAGGTATGAACCTTATGAGTCACGATTATCTACACTGTCAAGACGGGAAGTTTGCCCTCCAGCGCCATGGTTCCCTCGTCATCAGCGAGTTCACCGGTAGTGCGTCAATTTTTCAAGGACACGAGTTGCTAGTGAACCCTTGGGATTATACCGAAGTTGCTGAGGCAATCAACCGGGCATTAGAGATGTCCCCGGAACAGAAACAGCGTAATTGGGAATATCTTCTCGAGAAAAAGACCCCCTTTACTGCGATTGCCTGGTATCACACATTCCAGGGCGCACTAACTGCAGCACACAGAACGCAATTATCTCGCGAACTTCACCAGATCTCGCCGCTCTCAACGGCAGATCTCAAGGAGGCATATGATAAGACTAACAATCGATTATTACTTTTTGAAGAAAGCGCAGTCACTTCCCCCAATATGGAACCACCCGCTGCTAACTTACTCTCCGTGGTTAAAAACCTACTTCTTGATCCCAACAACTTAATATATGTGACCAGCGACAAGAGCCCCGAACAGCTAGAGCTTTCCTTCCAAGACCTCTCCACGCGTGTTGGGTACATTGCCGAAAACGGATGCTTCAAGCGCGACATCGGCTCGACGTACTGGAAGACCCTAGTAGATCTGGAGAAGGCCAAGGACTGGCGCAACGGCATCCGCAAGGTCCTACAGTACTATCAAGAGCGAACCGAAGGCAGTCGGTTCGAGGAACGGCGCTGCTTGCTGAACTTCTGGTACAACGAGGCCCAGGACCCAGAAGTCGCAACGCGGCAGGTCTCCGAGCTGGCAGACCAGGTCAACGGCTCCCGCGGCAGCGAGGCGATCCGCGTCGTGCTCACCGAGGGCCTCCTAACCGTTGAACCCCTAGACTTCACCAAGGCCAAAGCCGCAGCGTCCATCCTGGAGTCTCTCCCCCGTCTCCCAGACTTCCTTTTTGTGGTCGGCGGCTCCCGCAGCGATGAGGCCCTCTTCCGCTGGGCCAACAGCAACTCTTTTTCTGGAGATAAAATCCACAGCGTGACTACCCTCGCCGTGGGAGCCCACGCCACCGAGGCCAAAGCTGTACTGCCTGATGATGTGACCCTGGCCGCTGTCGTAAATGCCTTGGTACCTTCACCTTTTGATAAAGACGATTCGTTGCTTGACAGAGACGGTCCCATATCTTGAAACCCTCACTCACCACTCACTCACCTCCTCTTACCGTCCACGGTGGGCAGAAGAGGGGAGGGATCATTCCGTATCAACCTATTATACCCATCCAAGAATTTGGCTGACTATCACGAGTCGATGATAATAATGATGATGAATGACCACATGTGTAGCGTTTCCTGTCTCTCAATTCATCAACCTTCTTTGCTCTCATGTTTCTTTTCTTACCAGTGTGATAGGTATGGACTGAACATGGATGGCTAGGCTGGGGCATAGATCTAGATAGTCTGTGTGCGTTAATAAATTATCATTCCTTTTTTTTTTCTAAACTCATTGAGGTTATAGATAGACAGTAGGTAGCGTAATTATACCAGGCCATTATCATCCTGTATAGGAAGGCAGGCAGGTAGGTATATAAGGACAATCAATCTAGTCTGCTACAAGGTAAGAATATCAGATGTCGATACAATTCTCCCAATCTAGTACCTAGCTAAGCTTAGTACGTAACTAAGCTAAAAACCCACCTCCATCATCCAACACATACAGATCCTTGAATGCAATCACGCCAAGCAAACCCACACTCTGTAAAAGAAGCACCCCATCAATACTAGGCCCAAGCAAAGGATTATCACAATAAGGATAATCGCTGTCGTACACATCTAGAAAAAGAAAAAGGGAAAAAGGAAAAAAGGAAAAAAATCCGCGCATAATGAACGTCGTGCAGATATCCATCCATCCAACCGGCCAGCCACGGTGCCTACTTATCTAGCTTGACTTGGACATGTATCATTCATCATCCTCGTCATCCTCATCCTCGTCATCATCGTTCGTCCAAGACTACATGGCTTGTATAATATCAACAACCCAAGTATTTCGCCATTATCGATTCCTAGATATAGGAATCTTCTGGTGATCAGCTCGGCGGACGAGATGATAGAAAAGAGGCACAGAGAGACACAGATGATACCTGTCATAGAAGAGAAGACAGCACACGTTAAGATAACAAAGGTGAAATAAAAAGAGGCTCGTATTTGATTACACAAAATAAAGTCAAGACGCCTGGGATAGAACAAAAGCGCACAATGATAAGAAGACTAATAGAACAACCAGACCGGCCACGTCTACCAAAATCTCGGATCAATGACCCCCTCTTTTTTTTTCCCTCACGGACCAAAGCACCTAGGTATCGATGTTTACTCCTATACGACAGGACAGAACCGAAAGGGGAAGGGCGGAAGGGGGGAGAAGGTAGAATAGAAGAAAAAGAAGACAAAAACAAGCATGAATCATCAGAAGGGATATCGTGCACACGGAGTCATTCGCCATGACTCGAAGAAACGATTCGGAGTATTGCACTGGATGAGGAGAGTGGGAGAGGTGACTTTTCTGGAGAAGAGTAGGCGCGTCTAGTTACCGCCGTCCGCGTTTGGGGGCTGGTCCTTTGAAGCAGGGGGTTCGTTGCCAGCTGACACGAGCGTTGGTGCGATACGTCGTTTCTTGGGCGGCTGTTGGACCTGTGGGGCGGAGGTTGGCTCTTTAGGCGCCTCCTTCTCTGGTTCGTTGGCTCGCTTGCCCAGGACGCTCTGCTGGTTGGATGCGCCTTGGGGGGTGGGTAAGGGCGTCTCCGGGGGTGTGGTGAGCGGGAGAGTTGGGGGTTGGGAGGAGTGAGTTGCTGTCACCAGTGGCACGGAGCCGAGAGTAGGGGTCGGGTTGTTGACCACCCGGTTTGGTGGTTGGGATGTGGACTGTGTTGTGACAGAGGAGACAGAGTTCGAGCGTGCTGGGCTTGCAGGCGGTGCCGGGACCACAGGGGCAGGGGTGGAGGCGGGAGTCGGTTTCGCGGCAGAGGTCGCCGGCGTTGGCGGGGCCGCTTGGGTGGTAGATGGTACGCCAGTTTTCACCTGCGGTGTTGCCGGGTTCGAAGTTGTATATGGCTGGCCAAGTTCGCCAGAGGTGAAAGAGAGAGTCGAGCAGAAGCCGTCGGACGAGCTCATGATCAACGTGAGGCCATCATTCGACCTGATAATAGTGGATTAGAGCATGACAAAGGGCAAACTCCGAGCGTTAGAGGACTTACCATGTGAGATCGGTGAATGTGGCAAAGTGCAAGTTGCTGACGACACAAATCGGCGTTTGTTGTTGGGTATCGTACACAAGGACAGCATCCTGGGTCGCAACCGCATAAACGATGCGATAGGGTAAGGAGAAGACAGGCGCGGGGCTAGGAGCGCCCTCTCCCTCGCCCTTGACGCTTTTCGAAGAATCGGTGGCGGGTGTCGAGGAAGGCGGCTCCATCGCAGTAGTGCCATTCGCGGAGCTGACCACGGGGTCAGGCAGAGAGGCGAAAGTCTCTTCTCCGGATGAGGTATCCAAGGTGATATGGCGGACCGCCTGGGGCGCCTGTCTCAATGTGTAGAATATCGGCGAGCATTTAACAGCCACGGACGGCTTCTTATGGCCCGGAAGATGGGAGATGGGCGGCTTGTTGAACCCCGCGCGCGTGTAGACGTAAACCGTGTTGATGACCTCGTCTGTGGTCTTGGACGGATCTGTGGCGGATACGTGCGACGTTTTGTATTGTCCTGCGGGCGTGAACAGGAGACTCCCATCGGGGGCAAAGGTTAACCGGCGGAAGAAAGACGTGAACGTCTCGTTAGCGTAGATATTGGAGTTCCGGGCCCCTAGCCCGCCCAGCAAATTGGGGGACGGAAGCTCCATCGGCTTGACGGCGGGCAGTGGCAGCGACGGCGCGGGGGATGCAGAACGGCGAATCGACGGCGAGGAGCCGAAAGAGGACCGGCGACTATGCGACACCGGGGGCGGATCCATGGGCAGATTCGAAGCCATCGGGGTCCCTGGGGTCGACGAAGCGGGGGAAGCGATGATCGCTGAGCTCGGAGGAGGCTGGGATCGGATCGAAAGGTCTGGCGGAGCCGGACTGCTGGACGAGATTCGTTTGGCCGGCAGGTCCATTTTCAAGAACTTCCCGTGAGACGTCAGGGTGAATTGACCGTCTTTGGTCTTCAAACTATAGATGTGCACGGATCGATCGGAGGACTGCGTCGCGACGAACTCGTTGAGAGGGTCCCACGCGACGCCTTGCACGTAATGCGAATGCTCCGCAATCTGTCGTACCATTTGTCCTAGGATCCGACATCAGTCAACCGCACTCAAAGGGGAGGGGATCTCTCCGTCGCGGTCGAGGGCGAACCAACCGGTCTGGGCGTTGTATATCCGGGCGATATTATCCATGCTGCCTGTAATAATGAAAACACCATCCGGCGACCAGGCCAGATCATAGATCTCAGCCCCGGACGAACGACACATGTGCTTCACTCGCCAGGTCTCTTTATCATCCGAGTGATCCTCGCCTAGACCACCCTGGGTCTGCAATTCCGACGGAACCCAAAGGAGCACGTTGCCATCATCCCCGGCAGATGCCAGCATCTCGCCTAGAAGGTGTCAGACACGGGTCTCCAGCAAATTTCCATCTCCCAGAGGGTCTTCCAACCGAACCAGCCATACCTTTCGGGCTGAAGCGCACCACATTGACGGCTTGGGTGTGCTTTATCAACGTACTCAGATACGTGACCTTTCTGTCCTCCCCAGTCGATTCGACTCGCCATAACTATTCCGGGCCTCCTCGTTAGAAAAATCGAGGCACGGGGGGAAGGGGTGGACGGGGGTAATGAGGGAGGCGCACTCGAACGTTGTTATCACTGTAAAGAAGAGCAGGACGTATCAGCCATCCGGTCTCACGGATTTTGAGGGGGAGGGGAACAAGTTGCCACGTACTTTCCAGCCGTCGCCAGACGACCTTTACCATTGGGGTCGTAATGGACCGAATAGATCGGGGCATTATCGTTGTGCCACGCGATCAGCAACGGGGTAGCCTTCATGGTGAGCGCGAAAGCTCCACGGATGGCTCCCCAAGGCGGTTGCTTATGTCGAAATCACACGACACGGCCCTGGTGGCTCGAAAACGCTCTCGCCGATGATATAGGTGCTATATCTAGTCGAACTCGAGAGGTGTGAAAGAATGACAGTTAAGAAGTCGAGGAAGAGTCGAAGGAAAAATGTCTTTGGGGATCGTGAAACCCGTTCGAGGGGTGGGGAACAAGCAAGCAATTGACGTATGAATTGGAGATGGACGAGGGACCAAACAAAGAGCCAATCAATACAAGGGGGGGAAGTCCAAAGAGAATAGAGGGAAGAAAGTGAAGAAAATGGGGCAATCACAGGGGACAATAGGAAGTGTAGGTAGTCGACTGTGATCAAAGATGAGCGAATGGATGAACGATGAATGGATCGGATGGATGAGCTCGTGCCGGCTTTGGCGTCAAAATGCGCCCGGCGACTGAACCATAAGCGTCTCTGCATCCACCCATGCAACTAATGCAGTAAGGGGTGGCTTCACTTTCTAAATGTTTACTGTTCAGTATCTTGTTGTTATTGTTTTTTTTTTTTGTTTTTTTTTATTTTATTATCATTGTCCTCTCTCGGAATCTGGTCTGGTACGACGACTGCGATAACTATGACTACCACCTCGCCGTGTCCGTATCACCTCCCACCCTGTTTCAGTACTGGAATCCTCTCGAAATCCTGGTCCATGAATTCCGGTTTCTGACATGAGGTCCGAGGTCGCGTCGGAAGACAACGGAGAAGCTGCCTATCAGCTAACTACGTGTAGTTCGGTGAGAAGTGATGATAATCATCAGGATAACCATAATGATCATAACCAGCAACTCCAGTCATTTTCACAGATCATGGGAATCAGATGTGGAAGATCGGTAATAATACAGGGATTTAAAAAATCAAGGTCAAGGATATCAATCACGCCAGAGACCTCCTAAGAGATCCAGTTCCCTACTCTCTCCCCAAACCAGCTGGTGGCCTTCTCGCGTCGCTTGGCTCGGTTATCCTCGTGGGTCTTGAGGAACGGAGAAGCCTCCTGCGCATACAACTTCTGCTGTTCGAAGTTCGCGTTGTGCGTCCGGATCTCCAATTCCCGCTCGTGCGGACTAAGGGTCTCCCAATTCTTGGGCGGCTTGAAGCCCGCGGGAATCGATTCGCCCCCAGGGATTTCCACGGCACCAGGCTGACTCGTTGATTCCTGCGATGGCGGCGGCGCCTGCGGGTTGAACAGCGACGTGAGCGGAGGGGGTTCCTGACCAGCCTTCCGGGCCTCCTTGGCTTGTTCTTCGTAGCTCAGCATCTGATGGTAGAGCGTGTCGGCGTGCATCTGTATCCGCTCTTCCCTTTCCTCGTCTTGGTGGAAGGACGAGGCGTATCCGAGAGCCTGGAGGAATTTCTGGAGGCACGTTAGCAACCACCACCCAACCCACAGACACAGTAAACATCACAGGGCCACTCCTTCAACGCTGCACTTACAGATTGCGTCGTAAAACAACGGGAGAACTTGGCATTCTCGTCGGAGCATAGAGTCAGCCGGGATTCCAGCTGTTTCTGCCAGTTGCCAGTCTGGAAACAGTAGGTCAAGGCCTCATGCTCCAATGCGCAGTTCTCCATCGCCGCCCGGTGTACGGTGTCATTGCGCTTCTTGTAGTTCTCAATCACGCGTTCTGCGCCCGTCACTTCGTTGGTCTCCTCCGGTGGTGGCTTGTAGTTCTTCCAGAGATGGGCGTAACGGCCGTCGGGGTAAAGAGACTTGGAGGGCACGGAGGGTTGCGAGGGATCAGAGGTCGCGGAGGATTGAGACTGCGATTGCGCATCAACCGGCTTTGCAGACTCCGTCGACGAGGGAGCTGGGACATATTTCTTGGGAGCTTCGTGCTCGAGGTACTCTCGGAGACCCGGGTCAAGCTTTTTGACCGGGTCGTCGTTGTTCGAACTTCCCCAGAACCAACCCATGGCGCAACGGGGGGGGGGAGGGAATATAATAGATTGCAGACTAATTCAACACAGGTACCAATGACAATCGAAGAATATTGGGTAATACTGCAGATCCGGGATCGTGAGTACGGATGGAACGAGAGAAGATGGAGCGTTGGTGCAGGTTGGGCGAATTGCCGCCAAACCAGATTAGGCGGAGCGGCATGCAATCCACGATCATCATCCTCTCCATCATCGATCACAACCCCAACTCTGCCACAACAATCTTCTTGTCAACCCCCCCACCACCCCTTTGCTCTCTTTCGCGTGTATCTGCGCGTCGAGCCTGGCAAAGGCGCTACTTCTCGATCATGGCCTCTAGTACGTTTGTATTCATTTCTTACAAATAGCCATTCAATCGATGCGATGCTGACCGAATACCTCTAGATCGAGAGGAGCGCCGCCAAATGCGGCAGCGCGGAGCTGCGTACGCGCCTCTTCCACCCCGCGACGAATTGACCGGGAAGACTCACAGCTAACCCCCAACTCTTTGGATCAGGACACGCAAGATTAAAGAAGTCGATTTTGGCTTCTCCTTTGGCCTGGCGCCTCCGCCCGAGGAGGAATCCTCCCAACCCGCGTCGCAACCCGCCAATGTTGACATCGCCTCCGCTCCCCCTCTACCCTCAGAAACCACCGGGGCTCCGCAACCAACACAGCCTCCGTTATCACCTCCAGGAGAAAGTACAGTACCGCAACAAGTGACAAGTCAACGAACGCCGGGGGGTGCGCGTAATGCTCTTCCCCCGCGACCGTCGACGTTCGACTTGGACGCGAATGAGGCTCCAGAACTTTCGCGGAGTGCCAAGAGGCAACGAATTGGTAGGTTTGAAGACCGGGATCAGTACTCAATGTGTTGCTAATTCTCGCAAAGAGCCTCCCAGCAGGATACCGGTGGCCGCGGCCAGTGTAAAACCCGCCCAAACAGAACCACCAACCGTACAACCCCTCCAAAACGGTGATCAATCCAACGCAGTACCAGACTCACGCGACGAATCACAGGCACAACCTGTGGCTGCAGATAAAATACCGAGCCCAGAACAGCCCGCTCAAGAGGCGCCTCGGGCAACCCCTCCAACAGCCCCTCAGGAAGCCCCTCAGGAAGCCCCTCGCGAGGCCCCTCAAGAACTTCCGAAAGGAGATTCCACGCCTACCATCCTCGAATTACCTGACAAATCAGCGTCTGACCAGGAGAACCAGAATGAGAGGGCAGCCGAAAATAATGATAAGCCAAGGAGTCCATTCTCTCGAAATGGGTCGCTCAGACCGAACGGGACGAAATCTCCGCCCGGCGATAAGACAAGGAACAAGCGCAAACGAAGAAGTACCAGCGCCGACGAACTCCCGGCGCAGGATGTCGCGAAATCAGACACCGCCGTCGGAGCTGTCCAACAAACAGAACAGGCCCCTGAGCCAGAGAAACAAACCGCTGCCCCCGAAACAACTTCACCAAGGCCACAGCCTGCGAAACGCGCCCGAGGCCGACCAGCAGCTAAAGATTCACGAAAAAAGACAACGTCTCCGGAATCGCCAGATGAGTCTCGAGATTTTGCTGTGGGTGCAAAAGCTCCAACGCCCCCGCGACCGGTGCAAACACCGGAGGACCTGCCAACGGGAGACGCACAGCAAACACGGACCGTTGAATTGCCTTCGGAAAATTTTCAGGAGTCTCAGGATGCTCAGGTGAATTCGGAAGTCCCATTGCCCCTACGGCAGAGGCGGTCACGGAAAACACCCACCACAGAAGACTCTCAACAGACGCAGGCCTCGGAGGGTCTTCAGGAGACCCAGGGTGCTCAGGTGGATGCGGAAGCTCCCGTGCCCCCGCGGCAGAAGCGATTACGAAAAACACCTACGGCAGAAGTCGCCCAACAAACGCAGACTTCAGAGACACAGCCAGAAGAAGAAGATATTCCCGCGACAAGAAAGGGATTGCAACCGCGCGAGAAACGCCCAGGTGCCCGTCCAGGACCTCGCCGTTCATCATCTATGCCCGCGCATAAGGAGCCAGAATCACAAACGACTGCCCCTATTGAAGGCAGGCCAGAGACTGCATCACCTCCGGCCAGAGGTAGGAGGGCTCGGGGCAAGAATGCCAAGAGCCGCGACCCTACCCCAGAAGCTCTTCGTACCACGAAGCAACGAGCAAATAAGCAGCTTGACGCTGAAACGCCCGATGATAATGAGCCGAGTGACACGACCAAGCGCGGAGAGCGTCAACCTCCAGCGAAGTCACAGGAGACACTCCCAGCGAAGCGCGCTGGCCGCCCTGCGAAGAAGACTCTCCAGACCGCTGAGACTACAGAAGTTCCTCCCCAGATTATCAAAGACAAGAAGCGTCGCCGAGAACCGGAACCTGAACCGGAAGCGGAAATTGAACCTGAGCCTGAACAGGCCCAAGAACCGGAAGCCGAACTCGAGCCCGAGCTGCCAATGGAGCCTGAGCAGCCTCCGCCTACGAAGCGTAGACAGGGCAGACCGTCATCGAAGAAAGACACCCAGCCATCAGTACAGCCCGAAGAACCTACTACCGAACAAGCTGCTGGGGAGCGTCCCCGGCCCCCACGAAAACCCAGACAGCCTCGCGGGGAGGCAATCCCGGTCACTATCCATCGACTGGCAAATGTGGCCACGCTTGGGGGTAACACTGAGTCCCAGGGTGCATCCGACGGGGAAGGATCAGGCGATGAACTCTCAACGCGCCAGAAGATGAAGCTCCCAAGCAGGGGTGGCGTGAACGCAGCCGACGTGCTCAGCCAGATCTGCCGGGAGACGTTGGAGAAGACCATCGCGACACTCAGCACCGGAATAGCCAACGAAGGCAACGCGTCGCGACGCTCGGAATGGATGCACAAGCGGAAGGCTGTCGAAGCATACGGCTCAGAGCTCGAGGGCCGTCTCCTCGAGCTGAGCGATATGCTCGACAGTAACTTCACCCTAGGCACGCAGCTCAGACGAGCCAAGCGAGAGATGGTCGACATGCGGAGTCGACTGTACCACCTCCGGGCGCAGCGGGAAGATGTCGCCCTGCGTATGGACGCCGTGCGTAAGAAGCACTCCGAGGAAGAAAGTGCAAACACCGTACGTCCCTTCTCTCCCCTCCCCCTCTCTTTCTCTTTCAAAGGAGAAAACTAACCCCACCATCTAGACCCGCTCCACCATCAACAACTCCCTCCACAGCCTCGACCTAGCCCTCGAGCGCAGCCAGAACCGCACCGCAGACGCAGCCGACGTGTCCAGCACCCCAACCCACGCTGGAACCTCAACCGCCGGTCTAGAATTCATGCTCCGCAGCGTCGCAGAGAACGTGAGCTCCCGGGCGCCCGGTTCTCAAGGCGGCCTACTGAATCAAATGCGGGCGTTCAACGCGCGGCTTGAAGCTGCTGCGCGGAAGCTGGAGAGCTGACCTGGCTTGCTTGACATGTTCTTGAGTTCTTTGTCCTTCTACTTGTTATTGTCTTGTTGAATACCCTGTCGCGAGTTCTTGTCTTGTCTTGTCTTCTATTCGAGCATATGGGCGTGGGTTCGGTTTTGGTTTCTGTGTAGTATATAGCTTTAGCATTGAAACCGGGTTTATGGCCGGTGGATCAGACGATGTCGTGTCTATCTATCGGCCTCTTGTTCGTCTGGCCTTGTCACACGGCTTCTTCTGGTACTTGTATGTGTATTGGTAAACTACTGAGGGCTTCAATCCAGATGGGATGATGCTGTAGGTTAAAAGCCTCCCATGTTTGATATCTGCCAGGTGTGTATACCGCAATATACCTACAATTCCATACGCCGACATATATACTACACACATTTTTTGTTTCTTTCTGTCTTTTTTTTTCTCACACAGAAGAGAAACTATCCACAAAAGCTAGTTGAGTATATCGAAGTCTGATAGTTTTGCTAATATACACGATAGCAGACAAGTGTCAACACGCACCCCCAAGCCAATCACCCCGAAATATAACTATAACAATCACTCAAGTTTTAAAACGAAGAATCAATATTTTGTGCTGTGGCCTATGTATCAATTAGAAGTATAAATTCTTCCACAGATCGGGCTCTGTAGATCAGTGGTAGATCGTTGGTTTCCGGCACCAAAGGTCGCGTGTTCGAGCCGCGCCAGAGTCGCTTCTTTTTTTCTTTTTTCCATCTTATTTTTATCATGTTTTTTACAAACCGGCTTATGTTGGCCTTTTTTCTTTTTGTTCAAACTAGTGATGGGTTAGAGGGGGCTTTGGTTGGTGATTGAGGGAGATACTCGCATTTTCAAAGAACTATCCTGACTACACTACACATGTAATGATATCAGCATTGTTTATGCTTCCCAGCATACAGGGGGTTCACTTTATTGTTATCTGTATGCATGGTGCTACATATGCTAGCGCTTTTCCTGGTAGATAGTGTATGGAGAACTAGTTGGAGGAGTATGATACATCATGCTATATCCGATGAGAGAATTTCTCGTGAAGTCACTCGACAGCGAGGACCTTCCTCGTGTCCAAGTTTGATGTCGCCTGATAGATAGGCCGGGACGAACATGACGGATGCCACCCGACAGGGCCAAATCCCAGAGATCTGACCTGCCAGATCGAAACCGTTTTCCGTGTAGACGTTGAGACCGTACGCCACGAGGGTGCTGGCGATGGTCGCACGTCTCTACTTAGAATTGTACTCAAGGTACATACATTCACCGACATAACTGCTGTCTCGCTTATACCGGCCTGTCCATGCTCTTTCAGTATTGGTGAGGAGGCCATGACGGAGGCGTAGTTGATCAGGGATTATCAGGTTTTGTAAATTTGCAAGTTGTATACCTCAACATTGAGGGTGTAACTATCAAGTCAGCATTCCGAATAGGCGCCTCTCATCAAATCCTGAGGCAGTGGTCAAGTCCTCAGCGCAAAGGAAACGCAGTGCTGCGTTAGCCTTGAAAGAGGGACAGGATTCTTCCTCTTGAGCATTGCTCATATCGGTCGTGAAGGAAGAGGTACATGGCTTTTGGAATCCCATGTCAGAGTAGACATAGGCAGCCAGTAGTCTCTCCTGCAGATGATACGAGGAACAGATCAAAGGAGATTATTTCCTTTAACCATCA